AGCTGGTTTATGCAAGCACGACTTAATGCAAAAAAAAAAAACATCGCCTGGTGACCACATCATGTGACGTAACTATGACGTTGCAGACTGCCAAAACTTGTGACGTGACACTGTGATGCTACACAACGCAACGTGACACGATTGACACTGCATATCGTTTCAGTTTTTTCAATGATGATAATTATTAGTCCTTCTTTCTTCCTTGCATCTGTGCATAGTTTATTATGTTCATTTTGTGAATCTGCACGCAATGCATGTAACGATGGACCTTTTTATATATGGGGCTTGGGGTGATGTCATAATCCTCTTTAAATAGGTGGGACCCTTTCAAAACGCACTGCCGAGGACGTTATGTCGGGCTTCATGCTACCTCGCGCAGCCCAGCATGGCAGTGTTTTTTTCTTTCTGCTCAAGAGGTCTACTGGCTAAAATTTTCAGTATCGCTTCAGTATTATGTGTGGCCGAATGTTTTCCCGATGTGTTTATAAAGTTTTGTGTTGTCACAGGCTTGATTCAGCAGTCTTGACAGTGGCTGCGATTTTAGATGATGGGCAATATGTATTTACCGTGTAAGAGTTGTGGAATTATGCCTGCCTTGTTTCAACATCGCTCATAAACGTACAGCCCTGACAAATCATGAGAATATTCGGAACTGTTCTTACATCTGTAGAGATTTATGGGCTGTACCCAATCGTATTGTGGTCCACCACTGCGTCAAAAATGCGTATGATGTCAAGCTAAGAAAAAAAAAACCCTAAACGTGCGTGCCAGCAAGTTCATCCCAGTCACCGGAAAAAATTGCAGCTTCTGTAGGTGTTCATGATGACTTCAAATATAGCAACTATGCGTCTTTCATCGTCATTTTGCTTCCGTCAAAAGTGGGCGGACCATGATAACCATATTTTGCGCGAAAAAATTTCTGGCACCTCTTACAAAAATACCATATATGAACTTATATCCCGGCTGCGGCGGCTGCATTTCCGATGGAGGCGGAAATGTTCTAGGCCCGTGTGCTCAGATTTGGGTGCACGTTAAAGAACCCCAGGTGGTCAAAATTTCCGGAGCCCTCCACTACGGCGTCTCTCATAATCATATGGTGGTTTTGGGATGTTAAACCCCACATATCAATCAATCAATCATATATGAACTTATATAAAATCCCTATATGGCTACATCAGAAATTGGGCATATCAGGCTTTATATGGAATCCCCATATATGGACCCTATAAAACCTTATATGCCCAATTCGTGATATAGCCATATATGAACCTTATACTACCTGATATATCTAATCCCTTATATGCACGTATATGGACCCCCTCTCCGTCTATGTTTGTGACACTTTCCTTCCAGATGCTCAGTTTGTTTTTGCCTCCTGTTTATTTGGGCCGCATGATGCGCTTGCTTGCTTCCTTTTCTGTCGTCGAGCGCCACCTCAACGTAAAAAAAACAAAAAACAACCGGGGCGGTCGGGCCGTCGCATAACAACGCGTTCACGTGTACGCGTGCGAACTTTCCGCATCACTGCTCCTGGTCGCCGCCCCGGTAAAAAAATACATAAATATAAAGGCGGTAAGCAAGAACGGGAAAGGGCAAGACGAAAGCGAAGTCACGCATACCAGATGTCGACGATCCCGTCTCGCTTTACCAAAACTTGTCGAGCAGTCAGGCCCAATGACACTTTTCAAGCTTCACGAGAGAAAGACAACTACCATGGCGACTTACCCCAGTATTCTAGAATGTCCCTTCACTTAACGCTTCACCTTCACTTGAGAAAGCCGATGGGAGCGCCTTCTGTAGGCACGGCAAGTCACTGCACATCTGCGATAATCTGCTGCAATTCTTGAGTAGCACAGCGCCATTTTCAGCCGAGCAGTGGCGCAGTGTTCAACTGTGTCAAGTGAAGGGTGAAAGTCGAGTCGAGGAGCGTTTGTGAATACGGGGGTTAGACAGACAGATTAGTGGCCAGAAGGGTTTCATAGCATTTAGCGCTCATTTGTTTTGCGGAAATTGCTGATGTAGCCCTTAATTGAATTCACTATAATGTGGGCGAGGCGTTAGGCAATTAAACATGTTAATGAATATACTAGCATGGCATGCATATCATAGCAGCCAGTAAGAATATAAAAAAACATAAGCGGAACAGAACAATAGGAACCAATCAGGAGAGCCAAGTGTAGCAGATGAAGTGGACACTCAAGTAGAAGATGCGAAATAAATCGGAAGTAATTGAAGAGACAGTAGCAGTGGATACAACAAAACAGAAAAACAAGAATAAGATGAAAGACGGATATGAAGGTCAGACTGTTAAGAAGACCAGAATATGAGGAACAGCAGCTAAAGTCCACATTATGAGTCAACACAGACCGACAGAAGAACGGAATGACGAGAGAGAAACAGTCGGAAACCCGGAGAAAAGAGAACGAGAAAAAAAAAACGAAATAGAAATGGACAACCTGAACAAGAGAAGCCACAAACTGAAACCCCAGGTGGTACAGAAGCGTAAGAAGCACTGATCAATCAACACAAACACACACAAGTACCAGGGGAAGTAGCAGGAGCCCGAGGAAGAAGACTATGCAAGAAGTGAACAGGGGAAAAAAAAACGAGTAAATGAGAGTTGCTTCTGAATAGTTTAGCTACTGCCGATGGCACGTAAACTCGTTTGACGGGTTCGCGGCCGTCGCCATCAGCCCCTCGCTCTTCTGGACCGATGGCATGCTCGTTTTCAGCCTCGGTCGCCGAGGCATCGGCGGGGCGCACGTGCGAGAGTGTTTGTGTTCGTATTTCGTCGTTCCGCACGGATTGCGTCGAACCAGCTAATTAACGACTTCGTCCTCTTCTTTCTTTTCTCGCTGTCTCTCTTTCAGTTCCGCGCACAAAGATTAGAACGCCTGGAGCGTCGGCGTATGAGATTAGAGAGTGATGTCTGGTTAAACGTGCCGTTTAGGTATGAAGAAAAATGGCGAGAGAGAGAGAGTAGTCGTACACGTATTCGAAAAAGTTTCAAGTTAAGAGCCATGTCTGGTTTCTGTAGGGCATGCTTCATTTTGTTATCGTTTAAGATTTCCTGTGATCGTTCTTGCGAAGAGGCTTTATTTCGCTGGTGTTCGGCGTTCAGACATACATCGTGTCTGAATAATAGAAAAAAAAGTAGTCTGGTAATAGTTTTTGGGTCGGAAAATAGCTTAACAGGGCAGCCGGCTTTGCGGCTTTCGCAAATCACCCACTGATGAGTAGACTCTCTCCGTACCCCCCCCCCCCCCCTAAAAATTATGTTCGTTGGTATGCACGTATAATTCCTACTTACTTCTTTGAAAGAACAGGCATTTGTATGCTTTACGTAGGCTGTTTTTTTAGTTGTGAAGGATATTTCTTGCAGTATACGCCTTGTAGAAACCTAAAATATTGGATATACGACAAAACAATTTCGGTGTTCCTGTTCGAGATTAAAAATCAAATATGTCCCCCTTATATGAACGACTCAGTTAAACAATCAGTAATGCTACCCTGCGATGGACAATAGTACTTCTCCCTCCCACATATACGCTTGCATATACAACGAAATTTGCAGCATTTGGCATACATACGCAACATTCATAACAGGTGTCTGACTCACTGCAGTATTTCTGCTCCCCAACATTCGATGTCACCAGCCTGACATCCTTACGAGCCTACTGTTCTTTAACCACTACATTCGCACTGTCCACTGGCGCGAAAATTTGGGACTCCAGTGACTTGACGATCTGTGTATACCGCGAGTTTGCCTAGTAATCCAATAACTCTTTGATTAGGCTAATTATGCCGAACACTTGAAAACAGGTCAAAAGACATTGGCCAAATCTACAGATGGCACATTAGTTTGCGCCTTCTGTTCGACAACTCGTGTTGTCAGCTATGTCTTTAAGCACTGGGAAACAAAGCGCCACTCTACGTCATCACATCGTATGTCCAACCGTTGATATATGCTTTATGGGCATGCTACATGAGAATGTGTGATACCTGTATCTGGTGTATCTATACATTAAACAAGACGGCTTTCTAAATGAAACAAAAAAAATCACATCAAAGAAACATTTTTCGGCTTGTCGGTGGTCTCTAAGGGCAAGATTAGCATGGGTAATGTTCTCCTACTCTATGCTCGTTAAGGGAGCATAACTCGACGCGACCCTCCTGGTTGAGTCATCAATAAACCACTCCCTCCCCCTCTAACTTTCCTGCCATCTGAGCAGATAGTTCTGACCGGTTTGTCTCCGAATGACCCACACGAGAAGGTGTCGCCGCGGAAACCGTAGACAGAGACGTTTAAGTTATGGACACAGCGTGGTGCCTGGGTCGAGCAGAAAAAATGCCACTTGCCTCACTGTAATAGAGGTGTTGCTTTTTATTTGCAGCATTTTGTTGACTGAAGAAGAATTACTTTAGAATGGCAGTGTTCAGTTCAATGGTTATGGAAGGAATAGGGAGCATAGACCGGTTTGGGTTTGGTTGACCCTTGAGTTGCTGTCGCCATGGCAACTACATATGGAGAGTTTTAGGCAAAAGACACACTTTCACAGCATGATATTTGCATAGGGCCGTGAATGCACTAAGTACGTGGTATCTCACTTTGAAGAAGACAATGTTTTTCTTGATTCTGTATTGCTGAATACGTATAGGAGGAGTGCGTTGAAGCTGCAAAACTAAGTGTTGTAGTTGCGACAGGAACGGAAGCCATTACTGCTGAAACATTTCTTTCTTGGTTTCTTATATCTGTTGATTTGTTCCTCAAATTGTTATGTTTAAGAAAAGCTGAACCTTATTATGTATTTTTTCAGCATAACTGTTAGTAGTTATCATATTCAGCTTGTTCTTGACACATTACTCTTTCATAACGAAACATCACTGCTGTACGAAACTGTACACATCAGATTCGCTGTATTGAGGCTACCCAAGCCTTATCACGATTCCTTCGAGACGAACTAACAGCGGGCGCCTTATTTCTGTTTTGTGTTTTGCAGGAAAGCTGCTCATTCAGAAGACGGCGGTTACGCACAATTCGGTGACGCTGCAATGGCGGATGCGACAGTACCCGACCCCGTACCCCGGTGTGTTCTACACGCCACGATACGTCGGATCCGACACCAGGTGGACAAACGCGGAGGTGAGTCACCTCCTGAACCGCTCGTATTCACCTTTTCATAAACGCCTCCCTGGGCGCCGCCATAGCCCTCCTTGGGCTGTGCAAACTGGCGCGTCCCCTCGAAAATGCACTGACAACGCTGCGCCCTTAGCCTTTGTACTCCCGCGCACAGTCCATCATGGCGGTGTTTTTTTCCCTTCCTGCGAAAAGGTGTATAGATACAAGTTTATCTAACACACTATCCTCGCGTGGAAGATTCCCTTGAAACTGTATTGACGCGCAAAACGTCAGAAAAGGTACGAAATCAGACGAATTATCGTTCGAGTTAATAATTCTGAGAAGATACTTGTGATTGCATGTATCGTGTGTTTGTTGTCTGCCTTGGTGGATAAGTGCTCAGCTGCAGGCTGCTGATCAGAAGTTCGTAGTTTCGATGTCATTGCGCATTAAAAAAACACCACATGGTCGAAATTTCCGGAGCCCTCGACTACGGAGTTCCTGATAATACTTTTTTGGTTTTGGGCTGTAGAACCCCACATATTAGTAATATTATTGTTATTATTGTTTAGTGTGTATGTCGCGTTTTCTTACCCGTCAGCCATTGTCTGGCGAAAGTTATTTGTGTTCATAGTGCGGCCATGTATCCAGTGACTGTTGTGTGTTTACCTTGACGAACTCGTCTGTAAAAGGCGGACGTTTCGTGCGTGTGCATATTGATGACGTAGGACCACTAATGCATAAATTGTTTAGCATTGGGACTTGGTTTCTGGGTGTCCCTTCAGTCTATTTTCTATACTGTTCATTGATTGTCGTCTGATAAGGTAAGGCGTGATATAAAAGTGCGCTTGAAATCTATACACTTACTGAATATTGTAACGCTCTAAATGGAAAGCGAAATGAAATACTGGAAGTAAGATGCCTGGATGGAATTGAAATAATGAAATGATTCCCCGAAAAAAGGCAATATTTCCCGGAAATTTTCTTCGGGAACTCAACTTTGCCAAACAGTGCTACGATCTCTTCTGCTCACGTGTACGCGATCGGTAAACCGTTAGGTACGCATACACAGGCTAAATATTTAGTTTTAATTAACCTGTCCGATTTCTCTGCTTGAAACTTCTCAACGTTTGTTTTCTGAGATATCAAGTACTTAGTACAGTGAAGTAAACTAGAACACAAGCGGCTGTCAAAACCTTCTCCAACATATAAACCGTCGACGATCGATGCTTTCTAGAGCTACTGCGCCGGTCGTCTCTGAGGCATTGTATATTGAACCTTGGCGCCTACTGGAAGAATAGGAGAGGGCGCCACGCGCCTATGAAAGATCGAAGCGCAGACCTATAGTCGTTCTGCATTTTTTTTTGTGTGGTATGCTAACTGCTAAGCGCGCGCCCGCGGCTTCAATTCGCGTACACGATGACGTCATAACCACGAGAGCAATAAACCACTGAACGGCTGCGGGCTTAATTTTGAGTGCACTGAAAAATGTCAGTGCATATATATATATATATATATATATATATATATATATATATATATATATATATATATATATATATAGTTGTTGGACAACACACTACGTAGTTTAATTTGTTCTTCGTAGCAGGCTGTAGTTGATACAACAGATGTAGGGCAGGCGTTGGGGGTCACGTGTTTTCGTGTAATAGTTTATTTGCATTTATTAGAATGTGCTATTTGGCTAGTTGGTACTAAGTCATCCTGAAACTTGGGTGCAACTTGGTGCTCTCTCGTATACACACCGGTGAGAATTCACGACCGCTTCTGCCTAGAGTAACTGTCGGAAGCACTTTATCATTCACACACTGAAGCGCTCACTTAATGAAGTCAGTACTTTGAGCGTGTGGCTGATAGAGCGCCAAGTTGCGCCTAATTTTTTAGGTGATTTATGTACTGGTGCGCAGCTTTTCTGCTCGCCTCTTATTTGGTCTCGTGGGTGTTTGGAATCGCAGCCCAACGATCATTCTGTGACGCTGAAGAACCTGAGGCCCAACACGGAGTACGTTGTGAGGATCATGCAGGACGGCAACCAAGAGATGATCGTCGTCCGGACAAAAGGTGAGCTGTTTGAACACCGTGCCGGCACTTTCGTTGTTGGTGCGAAAACAAATAGGTCTGGGACACTAGCGCAACAATTTTCAGGTGATGAATGCTGGGAAGTGCAAAATACTAAAATGAACAACAACAACAACAACAACAACAACAACAACAACAACAACAACAACAACAACAACAACAACAACAACAACAACAACAACAACAACAACAACAACAAAGACGACGACGACGACAAAGTTTTATTATTATTATTTACATTTGGCAGAATGTAGGAAGGTAGGCTACGTTAGAGCAGGCTATCCCAACATCATGACAGTAATGTACGGGCATAAACACAAAAACAAGAAATTAAGAATAAAATAGGAAAAAAAACTGATCAGAAGCACTATGTACATATATATACATTATAGGGCTTATAATGCACGAATGAGCATAGTAGGTATGGTCATAGTCTAGTTCATACCCCCGCACATATACACTTTCCTACATGTATAAAACTGGGCAGATCAACCTCCCAGGTCGTTTGCTTTCATCTGATTCCACGTACATTGCGTAGAACGTCAGTGCATGTACGCTGACTAATCGCTCCGTTTTTCAGCCTCGATTACAACGAAAACAAATACAAGACTTACTGAAAGGAACCGACATAATGGAATATGCCTCGCCGCTATAATGGTTTAACAGATGTACATTTATAATGAGCATTGCATATGTTTTTATCGAAAATCAAACATCAAAGGAGGTTTAAGTAACATATACTTAGGCTAAAGCACACAACATAAATAGAAATAGCCAAATGACGCAAGATGTTTATACTCCAGTTGGAAATTATTAGGTGGAACCCTTCTTCTACGGATGCATCTAGCAGTTAAATATTATGGCGTATACATAATTTGTTTGGCTAAGCTACAAAGAAAGAGATAGTCAAGCAAAAGAGGTACAAAGGAGAGAACAGAAGGCCATCAGTTTACTCAGCTTTCGAAGTTCGCCGCCGTTAACCTAGCATTGTACGGCGACATCTGTTGCTTCGTTCTCACATAAAACTGTTCCAGCACATTGGTCGCCCAGTTTACAGATAGCGTGAAGCGTTTCAAGCCGTCTGTATAGGAATCAGTGTTTTGCGCTTTCACGGAGTCAGGAGCGAACCCTTTTCGAATCGAGCAGGCAACGGTATGCCTTTGAACCCTATCTAATTCACTAACGTTTTCTAACGTCTCCCATGGTTCGGCGCACCATAGTGAATTTAACTGTTCCTTCACAAGTATCCTACTGGTTAATCTTATGCTTCCATCTCTACTTCTCCGTGTACATCAGCGTGAAAGTCCACACATCATGTAGTACAACACCGTCCTATGTGGCGGTGGAACGGATTCATCAGTATATTACTTGGTACGAATAACAGAGCTGTGAAGGCGTGATGCTCGACTCTCACACGTGATACTTTCCTCTCTCTCTCTTCCTTGGCTTACGGACTCGCCAAACTCGTATATCTATCACTGTACGCTGTGAGACATTCTCATAACGGAGAAATGAAAGAAGGCGGAGGGGATGGGAGGGATGCAGAGCACAACACACGCGCACTCTTGACCTCTACGGCAACTGACATAGCGCCAAACTGCTCGTATGCCCCAACACCACCACCTCGTATTTTATTCCAGCACCTGCTGTCGACCGAACGCGTTCCTTCCATCGACAGCCCGAATAGATGTGTACAGCAGCGCCCCCTCGCCACTGGAAAAAAACGTGGCGCCCTCTACGTAGTCAATCTGCGCGCGAGCGTTTCTGTAGCGTCAACCACAAAAAATGATAAAACGAAAGGAAAGCGTTATAGAAAGTCGTTCGAGGACCACGTCGGCTGCGGTACCTGGCTTGCGTCGGTGACTTCAGAAGGCGACGCTGGAACGACCCGCATTCAAGAACCCGAAAGTGGCTATACACATACACAAAAACCCGCGTTTAGAGACGCAGAAACACGAACCGAAACTACTACTGATGCTAGAGGGGAAATGCAGGAGGCTGGTCTGAAGCGGAGGAGGCACGAGAGAAAAAGAAGGCTCGCGGACGTTGTCGGGCATGTCGGCGAGTCTGTTTGTCCCCTTTTGTATTTTTTTTTTACTTGTCGGCACGTCGGAGTGGAGGGACGTGGCGACCGGAGGAATGCTCTGCAAACACGCGTTCTCTCCGAGCGGCGTTTATAGTCTGCCGCCGGCCACCGTAACTGCGGGCCTCTTGGTTCTGTTTAGGTTTAGCGAGATGGCGTTCCTCCCTCCCTCTCTTCCCCCACTTATTGCTTTCTTAGTTCTGTTTTTCCCACGCAGTGGCGCCACTATCGTTTGCCGCCACGGCGTTTGGTCGTTTGGCCCTATTGTTCGGCATTCTTCAGTGATGACTACGCTGTTTTACGGGGCGGACTACTCCCAAACGCTTGAAGCGCGGAGAAAAGGGGCCTAAGCGTCGGAAGCTTAGGTCCTTTTTTTTTCCTCTCGTGAGACGATAAGCTACCGAAAGCTTACTACAGGATTGTAATCCGCCAGACGCAGTGTTTTCTTGGTAGGCAAAGGCTAAAGTAATCCCGCTTGGAAACAAGCCATTAGGAGAAAAAAAATTGATTGATGTGGTCAGACCACGTACTGTGTGGAACAGACGTGATGAAATAAAGTCACAACAGAAGACGATAGTTATAGCGCGAGTACAGACCGACGACACAGAGACAAGAAGGACACGAAGGACACGAGTGCTCGTGTCTTTCGAGTCCTTCTTGTCTCTGTGTCGTCGTTATGTTCTCTCGCTATAGCTATCGTCATGTGATACCAACTAGCCCAAGTTTACACACTCACAAGTGAAGGCATGATGACAGCACAAATGGCGAGTTAATTTTTTTTTTGTCGAGAGAATACGAACGCTGCTATTGAAGGCAACAGAAGCCAGATCAAGGCAAAAAATTGAGATATGGGTATTACGTATGCACGAAAAAAAAAAAAAACGGGAACGACAAGCAGCCGAGTTCCCGTAAGTCAATACGTTCACCTATGCAGAGAGAGAGAGAGAGAGAGAGAGAGAAAAAACTTTATTTGTGCATAACGCGGAGCATTCCAAATGTTCGGGCCCCTATTCCAGGGCTCCGCTGGCCCTAGCCATCATCTCTACCCGTTGGACCAGCCAGCGCTGATCAACAATGGCCGAGCTGGACAGAGGAACAATGGGAGGCGCTGCTGTCCAGCTCACCTATGCAGATGCTCAATTTTTTGAGGCTTTTTGTTGAGGATGGTGATTAATGATCTCTGTAATGCCCATCGGGTTATATTTGCGACATCAAAAACAAGGCTTCAAAAAGATAACAAAGCTAGCTAAGCCTAATGGATATCAGTTATTGCAGATTTTATGCGTTATGAAGTTGCAGTGAGTTGTCAATAATCAAAAGTAATTAGATTTTGCGTTATGTAACATTTCGTTGATTTCCTTTTCAAACGCACTGTGCACGATGAGTAAATACAGGAAGTGTCTTCTTTTCAATATTCCCCAATAAATAAATATTTGGCCACTTCAGGGTTAAATATCACGGAGTGCTTCGTAATGCGCGGGCCATAAAATAACCCATTCGTTGAGTACATAACATGGTTTGACGCCTGGCGCAATTCAGCGCTACTGCCTCGTAACGTTATATGAATGAAGATGACTCCTACATGGGATTCGTATTGTTCTTTTTTCTTTTTTAAGGGTTCTAATTAGTGAGGTGGCTCAGTAGGAGGACACCTGCTTGCCACGCCAAAGAGGTAGATGTGATTCCTACTCGAACCGTTTTTTTAATTATTTACACATTTGCGCCTGTCTGGAATTCTGTCTTGCTCACAAGCAACGCCTATTTTTTACTCAAAACGGCACCGACCACGCTCTGGAATCTTTAACGCTGTAAGCGTGAAAACTTCAACCAGGCTCTGTGAGGGGTGTCGCCACCTGCATGGCTACAGTCCACTGTTGGGACCGGAAGCTCAAACATCTTAACCCTAACGCGGCTGTCCTGGACGTCCAGGACTTGAGGGATCGTGGCACTTATCCATTCGTGTATACTGATCCCGCGGGAAATATCAATTGCTTCAAGCGTGCACATCATCCTGAGCGACTTGAGTGCGTTCTACTTTGGTAAAGCTGCATGCTGCTGTCCCTGGTACATACCGAACGAGCGCTTCATCCGTGCTCAACCACTCAGGATTCCAACTGGTCTGTGTTAAAAATAAGTGTTTATGCATTAAGAACACTTGGTACTCTACTGTGACAGAGTACAAAACTCTCCCAGATGCTTAGAAAAAATATTTACACAATATACAGAGAATAGGTTATGCGTCACGAATCAGTACTCGGGAATACATTCACATCTTCACTATTGTACCATCTGTCATCGCTAATATAGCCTTCACGGATGCCGTAATCACTTAACCCATATTTTCGATTTTTCCAAAGCTTATCTGGTTTCTTACAAGCTTGCGTAGATGGTATCGTTCGAATTTTCGTTTAGGGTGGTCGCACTAGTACAGCATTCCATGGACACTCATGTGTAGCATGGTGCTGTTAACTTGAAACGCTGCTGCTTTTCAGCCTAAATAAAACTATTGCTATGTATGATTGAACATATGCAACTACTGGATAAACCGAAGCGTTTGGCTGGACTATCGGCCATTTTGCCTGCTTCTTCAAAATGTTTGAAAATTCTCGGCAGGTGTAACACTTGTAGGAAGCCGAAAGCCTTGCAAGAGGGAGAAAACATAATCACAGCATATCCACGGAGTGAATGACAAGTCGGGCGAAGCATCCATCACTTCGTCCGTGCTTCAATCCGTCCGTTCGTTCTTGCTTCCAACCGTCCGTGCGTTTATTCGTGCGTCCGTACGTTCGTCTGTGCGTTCGTCCGTCCTGTGCGTCCGTCAGTCCGTGCATCCGTTCGTCTGTCCATGCATCCGTCCATCTGTGCAACCGTCCGTGCATTCGTCCGTCAGTCCGTGCGTCTGTCTGTCTCTCTGTCTGTCCGTTCGTACATCTAGGGAACACTCCAAGTACCGCCATCTCGCATCTTTTCATAATATAGTCATCATTACAAGTACCGCATTCAGTGGACATTTCAAGGACTACACGAGATGTGGCTACCACTACTACGACAACTACAACAATAACTACTACTACATAAATCGGGGATGCATGACACACGGCTTAAGGAGCTTCGCCCTTAAAAATTTATTTAAGCTGTCAGTGCCAGATAGCCTTTATCCCCATCGGGGTGGTTGATATCCCTAGTCCGGGACGGACACCATTAGTCAAAGCCGCCGCCCGAGCCCGCTGGACCAGAGTTCGCTATGGCTCTACTGTGGAGCTACTGAGCAGGCTCGTCTCCCAGCACTGTTTGATGGGGTTGGGGAGGGGGGTTAATTTTGGATTCATGTGGCAGGTTTAGACCACATGATAAGTGTTCGCCACTTCACCACAGTACTGGCATTGCCCACTTATTTTTGGGTCGTAATATTCGAGGATGGCTGGAACGAGCAGCGAGTTTGTCTGTAGGCGCTGCAGGATGCACTCCTTTGTTTTAGAGAATACGAAGCAAGCTGCGCTAAGAAGTGCACATGTTAGCAATTTACAGGGGCAGGGGCCATACCTACAACTTCCACATCCGAAGTTTGCAGTCCAGATCCCTGACAGTGGCTTGTTGTCTCTTTGTACATCTTAATTTCTTCACATCTACTACGCAAAAGTTACCCTTACGAGTAAAATTACTCTTTTAGCTTCATCATCAGCTAATTTTCATTAAGGCTGGATGAAACAATGAATCGGTACCTCAAAATCTTTTTCTTAAAAAACCAAAAAAAAAAAGAAAGCAAGATGTTTCTAGTGCTTCTGGTAAGTTGCTGACACCCGAAACAACAACAACAACAACAACAACAACAACAACAACAACAACAACAACAACAACAACAACAACAACAACAACAACAACAACAACAACAACAACAACAACAACAACAACAACAACAACAACAACAACAACAACAACAACGCGCTGATTATATGGGACGTTGGGAATGACGCTTAGCGCTTTAAAGCCCGGAATGTTCAGAGCACAGAAACCAGCGCGCCTTATGTTCACTAAAATTGCTACGCTCTTTCTTTCTCTCTCGGAGTGCTACAATACTCTTTCGGTGACACTTACCCATCTTAGTTGTCAGTAACGTAGCGAAATTAGCGTGACAATGTCTTGCTATGTATACGTGCACGTAGGCGACAGCTCAGCTTTCATCATTGCGTGCATGCGTCAATCAATTTATACTTCGTGCGCCATCCTTCGTAAAGAATTTACGTCATTTTCACGACTCTCGCGCCGGCGTCGTAAACGGGTCGCAGTTCATTCCAAGACTGAACTCCTGCGAAACGAAGTGTTGCGTGAAAAGACGACGGCCTCTGCTGCTATAACGCAGATCAGTCCTTTTTTTTTTATTCCATTCCGAGGCTCGGTCAAAGAAACAGGCCGCGTCACATTTCGTTGTTGACGCAAAGAAGTCAAGAAGAAATCAGGTTGCTCGAGAAAGGAGCTCCCGTTTGAGGGTCTCCAGTGACTCGTAAAGACACAGCTCAGCATATGTTCTCTCTTTAGTTCTTTATTTTACTGCACCGAGTAGCTTTTCGAAGCAGTAGCACCGAAACTGCGCGCGGCCCAGATGAAAGGCTCCTTCGAAGAACTCAGTTTGCCCGGAGGTCAGAAGGTGTGTCGGGTTACCTGCAAACGTTGCTCCCTCCCCCCCCCCCCCTTTTTTTTTTTGGATGTGATTGGAGGAAAGTTTGGACTAGTTTTTATGGATTCGCCTGTCTTCAGTTGCCGGTGCTCGTAAAAGGAGTATAAAGGAAGAGAATAGAGACATAAATAATGGCAAAGAGCAAACAAATTAAGGAAATAATAGAAGATATAACGAATACATGGAATACAACGGAACGTTAGGGACAGCTCGTGTGAATGAGTAAGACGTAGATGTAGCGAATGAAGAAAACTGGGCGCAGTAAAGAAGCTTTGAATAATATTGTAATAGATGGAAGGGTGGCTGTGAACGAATGAAAATAAGCCTCAAAGGATTATAATATGTGGAGTGTTTTACGTCCCAAAACCAGATATGACTATGTTAGACGCTGTAGTGAAGGGATCCGGCAATTTCGACCACCTGGTGATCTTTAAGGACCAATGGAAGAGACGACGTGAATGAAAGGAAAGAGAGCCACATCACGTGGATCAAGTAAAGAACAAGGGAACACGTGAATGCGAGGTGGAGAGAGTGAGGTAGAAAGAAAGTGATAGAGAGCAGTGGAAGTGCAAGAGAGGTAAAAGAGGAGGACATAGCGAAGAGGTACGCGACGCTGCTTTTTTTTTTTATCTCTCACACTAGGTGCAGACGCTCAAAGGACTTCGTTGTGGCCGCTTTACAAGCCTCGCTTTCTCTCGCATAACTTACGGATGTCCTTTTGTTTGTTTTGGTCTTTATCTGCAGCATCTGAGACAGTCTTCAGTTCAAAGGAGTGCGCTTCCTACCGTGGCCCTTTCGGTGCCGGCATCGACAGTCAGCGAGCATGTCTTTTTTTTTTCTATATTGGTATGCATAAGTTTAGGGCTCACCTACTGTGAAATGCGATCTGGTCATTTGAGAATACATTAAAAAGCAAGAAGCCCCACTTCGTGCTGTCATTTCTCAAAGGGAAAGGAAGATAATATCGATGTTTCTCAAAAGAAGAAAGTGAACAAAGGAGGAATAGATAGCAGTGGTGACGTACCTCTTTTTTTTAGGGGGGGGGGAGGGGGAGGGTGTGGTAGCGTCGCGGTTATACGAAAAAACAACCATGCCATTTTTTGACAGTAATATGGTTCAGTTCAATACCCGTGAGCAGCTCTACACAAGGTGATATTATCCATAAAGTTCGGTGTGCCACCTTTACATTTTGGCGCTCATTTTTTTCGGTGTGAGCAGATTAGTAATACTACCTACATGTTTGTGGAATTTAGTTTGACCTATTCAGGTGAGCTGTTCTCAGTGGCAGACGTTAGTTGCGCAACCAATGGCGATGTGAACTTCGCAAGCTTAACTTTCTACTTGCTACCTTCGCGGAGATAACTTGCGTGGTTAGTATGCGAGTTTGCGCTGCAGAGAAGAACACGGGGTCATCCCATTGGTAGAACCAAATGGTTAATATACCCGTCAGGTTGCAGTCGGTGAAATGCTTTCCCTTACACTTCTTACCCGGTAATATCATGGAAGTCGGTAAGTTTTTGGAATGTATTCGGTATACCTGCTTGATTACGGAAGAATTTCAAGGTAATTTAAGGTTTCTGATTTCCTTCTAGTGGAATGTCGAATGGAATTTAATTGTGTAATCCTCAGCCTATAGCTTACCCTCGCCTATGCGAAGTTCTCATTTAGTTTATTTCATTTCTCGTGGAACAGACATGCCGACGCCCGCTGCAGCCAAGGTGCTGGTGACCCAGGTAACGCCTAGCAGCGTGGGACTGGCTTGGGACGACTTCAAGAGCCCCAGCTACGACTCCGGCTACGTAGTCCAGCACAGGCTGCTGACCAACCGCGACGACGCCCCCTGGGAGCAAGAACAGGTCAGTTTGACGTAGTATGAGAGCTTTGTGTGTTGCTCTGGTGATACCACGTGACGAAATAGCTGCGAAGCCCTGAAGGACGATAATAAACGACTGGAAACCGACGTGAAATTTCCCGCCCTTTCTTTTCTGTTCATCTTGACTTGTCCTTCGGTGCTGTCCAAAAACTTCATCGCAAGATCGTTACATGCTCAACTAGGTTCCGCCGTGATAGGCTCGTTTAAAAATTACTGCGAACTTTAGTTTGCAGTTGACATCTCGCAACAGACCCTTTTATGAATTGGCAAGCATGTTTTTCTTTGGGGCATATTCGCGCAAATAACGGTGGAAGCTGTCGTGCTTCAAGTGGGTACAAAGTCTATAGTTGCACTTGCTTGGGCTCGTCTGTTATGTGCGTTTATCTAAAATTAGTGGAGCCTACGACATAGAACATGGAACCCTTGCAAGAACACATTGTTTGCAACTAGTGACTAGACTTAATTAGTTGGGAGAACTGTGTAGCAGAAAAGCTAGCGTACAAATTATGAACGAGGTCTATTGCGAGAACGTGTATTACAAGAACTTCCCAGGTGCAAATGAACACCACTATCTATACTGTAGTCGGTCTGCAGTATGTTTTAATGAATACGAGGCAGAGAAGGAGTATTAATACTGCCGAGCAGAAATTGTTGAAACGATTTTGCATGAGCCTGAGTTCTTATCTCTGTAATCGATGGACGCGAAGCTCTTATGAAGCTCTTTCAGAAGTTCACTATATATGACTTGTATTATTTTCCACGTGGTCCCCTCGCTTGTTGACATTCGTAGACTTAAGATAATAAATTGCAATCTTTCGCAGTTTGGCAACATACCCCTGGCCACCTTGGACAACCTGAAACCTCAGACTGGATACCAAGTCCAGGTCTCCGTCTGGGATGACAAGGAAGCTGGAAAGCTTGGGGCCACGTCCGAGATGCTGACTGTTTTCACTATAGGTAGGTGCTTGCTAGCCTACGTGCACTGATAGTGCAGACTTAGAGCCCTGACCAGGTGACAGTGGCCACCTTGTGTGCTGGGTAGTCAGAATGTACTGGCATCGTATGCGGATGTCAGTGTTTACCAATTAACTGACTAGGACCGGCTATTTAGCACATTCTTAATTTAGAGGGGACTCAGCAAACGGAATAAAATTGTTTAGCCTTTTGATGTACGAGAAATTTGAGTGGGACATGTCGACAACAGATACGAACTGCATGCTTTGACGGGACTAAAAAAAAGCATGTCTGGCCCATTGTTTTTCACTTTCACGTACCTGAACTACCCTTCACATTACACGTCCACTCCACTCCAGCTGATAATGCTCCATAGAAATGTATGTTTGTGCCGTCGAATAATCGCTCATCTCCTTCTCAGAACATTTAAACGTCGCTGGGTGTTTTCTAACTATAGTTACACCCTGTCGCGTATTGGGGAGTAATCCGCTACACAGCCTGCACAACTGACGTCCCAGCTTATTAACTTTCACTGTTAACCATGACCTTATCGTTATGTGAGGTTCATACTCACATTGTTCTGTGAGGATGTAAAAAAGTGACAGGTTGTGTACCGTTACGTTTGACACTTGGAACAGGTACCGCTACCTCCATCTTACGCCCTTTTTCGTATTTCTAGTGTCATATTCCTCTTCGCGCTTTCATCGCCCCCCTCCCCCCTTTTTTTTTTGCGGGCGAAGTGCCTGGTCAAGTAAAAACTACGGTGACATGTACGTTCTATTGCTGATGCCGAGAAACCCGAGGCAATGTAGCACGTCCTTTACCATTCTCGCACAACAGCACAGCAATAACAAACATTTGAAGGGGGGGGGCAGGAAACATTGTCTACTGGAATCCTGCTTGTCACAGTTGCCGTCTTTCCGTGAACGGATGTGGATACTTCGCGAGAAGAAGGCCTTCACGCAAGGTTATTCCACTCCACGGAATTGCATTCGCGTCCACTAAAGGAAGCGCTCCCCGCCCACGCTGTGACAGGTGACCCACGCTGTAGGTCTCCTGTCGCAGCGTCGGCGCGACGCTGATGGCGGTTGTCAGCTTTGTCTCGTGAATTCGCTGCGTTACGCCTGCCAGATTCGTACGGTTCTTTTCGAGTCGGGCGTCTCGAGCTCTTGGGACCGTAACAAAGAAGGCTTCTTGAATGGGCTCTCTGTAGGCGTGCGAAGTAGCAACTGGAACGAATCGTTTTAAAAATGAAGCTTGCCATCCAGTCGAAACTCTTATGCGTCAACCCGTCTGTCCCTCTCTGTAATGTCTGTCTTGTGCTCGTGTGACGTTCGTCCGTGTCTTTCTATCTGCACATTCTTCTGTCTGTACGCATATCTGTCGGTCTTCTACTATGCATTTACATCAGTGCACTTCTACATCTATCTGCTTATCCTTATGTATGTACATCATTCTGCTCGTACATGTGTACATCTGTCCTTTCCGTAATATGTATGTATGTATGTATGTATGTATGTATGTATGTATGTATGTATGTATGTATGTATGTATGTATGTATGTATGTATGTATGTATGTATGTATGTATGTATGTATGTATGTATGTGTGTATGTGTGTATGTGTGTGTGTGTGTGTGTGTGTGTGTGTGTGTGTGTGTGCGTGCGTGTGTGTGTGTGTGTATGTATGTATGTATGTATGTATGTATGTATGTATGTATGTATGTATGTATGTATGTATGTATGTATGTATGTATGTGTGTGTGGGGGGGGTGTATGTATGTACGTGCACCATTCTGTGTCCCTGGTTGTATGTACGTACATCCCTCTGTTTTCTCTGCGCATGTCTGCGAGCACGTATTCGTACCTATGTATCCGTATGTAAGTTCATTTACCTCTCTGTCTCTACACATGCGTATTCGTCTGTACGTCTGTACAGCTGTGTGTCTCGTCTAAACATCTGTTCGTCTGCATGTGCAGCATTATGTTTGTCATCTCCGTACATCTGTCTTCGTGTATGTGAGTGTAACCTTTCTATGTGTCTGTATGTGTGTTATTAATCGGTCTGTACGCCTTTACATCTGTCTGTCTTCACGTACGTGTCTACATCAATCTGCGCATCTGTCAATTTACTCTGTTCAACAGTCTGCACTTGATTACGGAAGTGTACGAATCTTCGATACATGTCTGCGCGACCTTACAGTACCGTCCACTGTTACAGGGAACACTCTAATGCACACCATCAATATTGCTAGAGCTCTAACAGCAAGTGGTTATGAAAACAATCTGCATGCACATTACTAGTGCGTCAAAACGAGTCAGAACTATCAACCACCAGTAAGCTACTATGCTTCCGTAAGATAGCGAAATCTAAACATGCCGCACTCTCAGGTGTTCCCTTTAACAGCGGACACGTCTGTACATCTGTAGGTCTGTAACTCGCAAGTGCATTGGTTGGCTTCCCAGCACCTTTATGACCCGTCTGTACATCAGCCTTTTCTTCTTGTACGACATGTCTATAGTGTATGTTATGCGTTCTGGCTCATCAGCTGACCGGTACACAACTTTCATGTCTGGTGCAAAAATTTTCCTCCATATTGAGAACAACATACGTTGCGCTGGAAACAAACCATGTCTCCGATGTCCACTCTTCTGTCACATCGGCATTCAATTAAGAGAAATCTGCGCACAATGCAATGACGCTTCGAACGACACTTAGTTCACGCTTGAAAGAGCTGATACGGCAACAGTCGACAGTAGACATCGAATATCCTCTCGGCACGGGAGTCTGTGTTGCCTTTTAATGTGGCAGGCTGTGTCTGACCTTGGAATCTTGCCTGTAAAGGCCAAACCGAGCGGATCGCCATGGCCGGTAATGCATGTATTTATCGCCGAGCAGACCCTGCAATTTAGCGCAAAGGATAATTTTATGGCGTACTATGTTCTTATTGAAATTTATACGCATGGAGTTCCCAACTAACGCCATATGTCTTCCAAGAAAAAAAAAGTCGTAGTTTCTTGTGGAAACGATTGATATATAGTTGCTGTATAGACAGGAGAGATCAGGTATCATTCTGCTGTTAATAAATATGGGAGTAACCTTTGTCGTGGCACAGGTTTCATACATGTAGTCAGATATTACCGAGGTATAGATAATGTTGTAATAGCGAGTCTTCAAGGTGAGCTACGATGTAGGCTTACTTACCATTTTCTTCCGTTTATTCGAAGGAAACTTGATAGCTGTCTTGTTTGCTTGGTTCAGTTTTCTGCAAGTTGGATTTGCCTGGGACGGCAATTTTCCGGTCTGCTCGTCTGTTATTTTGCGTTTTGAGAATCGCCTTTAAAATGTCTTTAATGTCGCCTCGATGTCCCGGCAAAAGGAGCGATACCTTCTTGCAAACTGTTCTCGCTCCTTCAATGAACGTTAATGCATCGTAGACACGTACATTAGGATGTCTGTTTTTGTAGATCGTCTATTACCACTCGTTCTGATACTGGAGCTCCGGCCACAGGAAATGAAGAAGTTCACGTCACGGAATTTCTTTGAGTTCTGTGCATAACTCGGTGGTACCTCGCCCAATTTCGTAGGTCGATGCTTTGGTGCACACCGGTGGGGATGGCAACTGCAAGAATGATACCGGTGATAATTCTAACAACGATGGCCGTCTTTTAGGGTTATGAAATTTCGAACTGATCAAGAATGTACAAATTGGTTCCTTGCTGTGCATGCGTATGGTCGCTGCTCTAACAAAATTCTGTGTAAGAGAGTAGGTACGTCGACAATATGTCTAAACAAAAAAAACCACATTCAAAACGGTTAAGTGAATTCACACACAAGACAAAGTGGAGGAAACAAAAGAAGCGGAATGAAAGTGAATGATAATTAGAACAACGTATGTTATGACCTAACTTTTTGGTCAGTAGTACCGGTAGACGAATGCGGCACCTTCAAAACCTCGTTCGCATTATCCGTGGTGAGATTCGGCATCTACCTCAATCGGCCCAATTTAAGACCTCGACATGCGAACGGTGTTCCTATTCAGGTCATGATCGTGGCAATCGGCATACGGACCACGTTGTACGCGCGTCTCATGGAAACGCTTGATCCGCTGACAGTGAATGGAATGTGTATATCCATACTTAGTATATACCGTTTGGAGGGCATCCCCCCCCCAAAAAAAAGCCAGTGTGCTCTATCTACGCGCAAACAGGTGGAAAACTATGGTGCAGTCGCATGCAGGCGGGAGGAAAAGACGATAAACGGACAGTATATGTAAGAGTGGCCCAACTGCTTATGGCATTAGCCCCCTTCCCGACTTTCCTACTCGCCTTCCCCCCCTCCCAGCTCTCGCGTTTGTTGTCGCCCTGACCTCATTGGCGACCCCTAAACACGCAGGCAAGTCACTCCCACGAAGATTCGTCGTTTTCCGTGGTTCGGTGCGAACAATTCCGAGAGAGACGTGACTGCCCGGCCGTGCTGTGACAAGGTGCATGCATTTCCATAGTGCGAGGTTATACCGCAGAATTGATTTTTTTTTTAATTTTTATTCTTTCATTGTCGTTCATTGACCCGTCTTTCATTCGCGTCGTGCCCGTTTTCTCGCCACTTATTCAAGCGCGAATGATCGTAAGCGCCGTTCAGCAGGGTTCAACGGATTTGGGTATTGCGGTCTTGGAGGACGTCATGAGCATCGATCCCTGCGTAATAACAAAACCAACAATTTCGCTCTTACCGTCGGCATCGTATGCGCGATTCATGTTCTGGGGTTTTTTTGCAAATAAAGCCTTTCATAATTATTGTCGTACACTTTGCGTCCAGTTTGTTTACGCGTGCGTTCTTTAGAGTGAACTTGTCGGCTAGCCGTATTGGTTAGGCATATTGTAGGCGAGCAGCGCCGGAGATGAAGACGGAACGAGACACGTGAATGTGTGTCCTATTCGTATTCCTAACTAGCACTATGTGTGGTTACTTGCACGTTGCTTCCATATATCTGCGTATACCGGTTAGATCACGTGGATTCGTGAACTTTGCGTTTGCCAACTGCAGCATTGAAAAGAAGTTTGGGAGCATGTTAAGCTCTGTTACTCGTGAAGGCGGAAACCGACTGTACACTTGGAGGTGCATTAAGGCATACAATCGAGGACCAGACATGTTGCAAGACAGCCGCAGTTTGAGCCAAAGTTTGAGAAACACGCCTTACACCACGTTGGCTTTAGTCCACTCAATTGGTTCACTCAGTGAAGCTATAACGCGCCAAACACTGGAACCAAGGAACAAATTTTCAGCTACATAATTTCATCGAAAAAACTATGCTAAAAGTATGAACTCTTGAATCTTTCCTCCCGCCACCGCCTGCCCTCATCACCCAGCCCTCATATTTTCTGCTGCACGCGTGGAGTCGCATGACCACCGAGATCGGCTCCCCCATTTCACCAAACGGCGATGGTATTTCATGAATCATGACATCATCGTCATGATGACGTCACCAGCTACGGGGATCAGGGGCGTCGCGTGGTGACGTCACGGCAACTCGTTTCCTTTCAACGCGCTGACGCAGGGATGTCGAGCAGGTTTTTTGTTCCACTCCATTCATTCGCCCTGCTGTCTTCTGTGCTGACGGTCACCACGCCGCTATACGATAGCTGGACAACCACCCACTCGCGGAGAACAAAGTTTTATGATCCTCACCGACTCGGTCGTCAGCACCAGCTGTTCTGGGGGCTTTGTTGCGGTTTCTTCGAGAAACCGAATCAATGTCAACAGAATGGAACAGAAAAAAAAAAACTTGAATGAAGCAGACGTTATTTGAATGGGAGAAGCCTTAGCCTCAATGACCTTACCCGCCCGTTCAACTTGGCCGTTTTTCGCTTGCTGATAGGCCGGGTCTAACTGTGTCAGTTAATAAACAATGCTTGTGCGTATTCGTGCCTTCATTTGCTTTTGTCGCCTGCTGTCACCACACTTCCTTTTAATCACATTATTCGCTTTTACCGTTCCCAAGTACAGGTTAGCATAGCGAAGGCTTCCTCTGGTTAACTTCCCTACTTTCCCTTAACTTTCTTTAGCGCTCACCGAGCAACGAGTCGCTCGATAACTCTCGGCCTCTATGGTGTCCCGAATTACTATGGCAACCGAGCTAGCAGCTCCGTGTTCTTTGGTCTCCAAACCGGCGTTCTCATACGGTAAACTTAATTTTTTCAGACGGTTGCGTGCGCTACAATCGCACCTACCGCGTTGGTGACGAGTTCACCGAGGGTTGCGAGTTGCGCTGCGTGTGCCGTGGCAACGACGAGGGCGACTGCAAGGAGCGCTGCCAGGAGCCGTACGTTCGCGCCGGCGCCATGGCGTCCGATCCGCTGTGCTACGAGAAGACGCTGCCCGACGACCCGTGCTGCGTCAGCGTCCGATGCGCGCACGGCAAGAACCACCAGCACGGGCTGCACCACGACCCCTCACGTGAGTTCCGTTGATTCATCATCATCATCATCAGCCTGACTACGTCCACTGCAGGACAAAGGCCTCTCCCATGTTCCGCCAGTGAACCCGGGCCTGTGCTTCCTGCTGCCAATTTATACCCGCAAACTTCTTAATCTAATCTGCCCACCTAACCTTCTGTCTCCCCCTAACCCGCTTCCCTTCTCTGGGAATCCAGTCAGTTACCCTTAATGACCAGCGGTTATCCTGTCTACGCGCTACGTGCCCGGCCCATGTCCATTTCCTCTTCTTTATTTCAACTATGATATCCTTAGCCCCCGTTTGTCCCCTAATCCACTCTGCTCTCTTCTTGTCTCTCAAGGTTACACCTACCATTTTTCTTTCCATTGCTCGCTGCGTCGTCCTTAATTTAAGCTGAACCCTCTTTGTAAGTCTCCAGGTTTCTGCTACGTAGCTAAGTACCGGCAAGATACAGCTGTTATATACCTTCCTCTTGAGGGATAGTGGCAATCTACCTGTCATAATTTGAGAGTGCTTGCCGAATGTGCTCCACCCCATTCTTATTCTTCTAGTTACTTCAATCTCGTGGTTAGCCTCTGCAGTTATTACCTGCCCTAAGTAGACAGTCTTTTACAACTCCGTTGATTACTGTACGCTTTATGATTGGCTTTAAGTTTTAAAAAGTGTGTAGGTTGCGTGCACTAGAGGCTTAAGGCTGATACCACACTGTAAACCAGTTTGCATACTTGAGGGTGCTTTGCCTTATTTATAACTAACACCCTGGGATAACGGTATTCTGACAAACCAAAACACCCATGTTATAGGTGTTCTGGTGCTTCAAAACACCCATTACGAGAGTGTTTTGGTTTGTCAGAACACCCTTGTTGTAGGGTGTTAGTTATAGACACGGAAAACACCCCTAAGAGTGCAAACTGGCTTACAGTGCATCAGCTAGTCTTCGACCTAGCTAAATTCTGCTTGTAACGACAAACTTTTACGAGAGGTGTTAAGTTTTTGCCAGCGGTACTGAATGGCATGTCTAGGTGTTTGTGATGTTACGGGATTTTTTTGTTATGTTCGTAGTTACGTAAAGGACGTTAATAATTTTATTGTTGCTACATGATCTGTAGCCACGTGAGTGTTGTTACGTGATGTTACGAGATCTTTAGTCGCGTAACAAACACACTCATCATTAGTTTCCACAGGAAAGATTTATTTGCATTACTTCCTCGCTTTAAGGTTATCAAAAGGAACTTAGAAAAAAAATATATATAAAAATATTTCCTTCAATGCTCCATAAACAAACACCCAATCTAATCAGCTATATTGTTCAATTTCCGGTTCCGTTTTCCCGGTATTTTGCTGAAAAAAGCGATGAATTCAAGGGCAGGACGAGTCTGCCTTCTGCTCTTCAGAGAGTGACACACTTCGGCATCTTGTAACACTTCTCACTTTCGCGTCTTTCGGTTTCTCTTGAGTACACGTCCTCTGTGTATAAAGCAAAAGTTCTGATCTGTCCTACCGAATTGTTCCTGTCACGGATGAACGCTTTTCTCGGTCTCCTCCAGTGCGTACGTACAGCCAAAAGAACGGCCACTGTCCCGAGATCGTGGAGGACCAGAGCACGGACCCGGACTCCTGTTCGAACGAGTGCAACAGTGACTTCGAGTGCGCCGGCGTGCTCAAGTGCTGTCCAAGTTCTTGCGGGGGAGCAGTCTGCGTCGAACCCTTCTCGGGCAAAGGTCAGTTGGGGAAGCAGGAAAGCTGCCCTCGTATTCTTTACCTTGCTGAGGGAGAGCTAAGCATCTGACGTTGTGTGCAGCGTCGGGTAAATAGCGATTTTAGAAGCGCAGTTGCAAAGTGACTTGCTGTGTTTTTGTTGGCCAGTGGAATGGAGACGATAAGACAGGGCTCTACAGAACCATTCACTCGTGCTTCAGAGGCCGGTACAAATACGGCGGCCAAGATTTGACTTCTAAATAGCCTGAATGCTCTTACCACGTAATTTTCACGACGCATTCGATCTTAATACGGCGATTTATTGTTTTTTAGAGTAGTGCGATTTGTAAATTACGTTTCTCCTGCTTTTGGGATAGAAAACTGAGTTGGTTGGCATGCATTAATAACAAAACTTGTGCAGCGCTCTCATACAAGAGGACAAGGGCACAAGGCAGCCCATGTCCTGCATCTTTCTTGTCCTCCGTCTGTTCGCTACCTCCAATTAGTGTTGTATAGTTGATTCCATTTCGTTAGAAGCCAATAGAGGGCAATAAATTCTCGATTAACGTAAAAATTGGGCAGCCATATAAGTATATACGAGGATGCAGTGCATAAGAACGCAGTTGTATGCAAACCAAAAGCACTTAAATGAGCCCTGGTACATGACTCGGGTTTAGAAGATCGCCACTACTGAAATCTGCCGTGTCACGGTTTACGAGCACTTGTGCAAGTAATGTCGCAGTATCTAGTAATTAGGCGTATAGGCATATATGTAATGTCCGCTGTTGTGTCGTCCGTGGTGGCGTGAGCCCCGAGTACACACCTCTTTGTGTGCCGCAGACCCGTGCGAGAACGTGTTCTGCGGACCCAACGCGCTGTGCATGCTGGAGAACGCTTCGCCCGTATGCCAGTGTGCGAGCGGCTACAGCGGCGATCCTAACAACGCTACCACGGGATGCACTCAAGGTCGGTCACCGAATCGCGACTAACCCGATCTCTCCGCCCTTTCCTCTCATCAGCATGGCCTCCGAGATCGCGAACCTGCCCGTTCTCGGAGGCCCTTGCTCTCACTTGAGTGTCGCGCATTGTTTGATAAGAGAGCTATCTCGCTTCGTACTAGACGTCCTGGCATGTGAATGGCATATAAAATATCTTGTTTGCATATATAATGAAATAAACACATTTGTATCGTTTGAAAACGTAATCGAAAGCGTTTGGTTAAAAAAACGCAGATTTTGCTCCTGGAAAAAAGTTCAATAACAATTTCATCGTCTAGCTACTCTTAATTCTTTTCACTTGAATCGTGTTGGCGTATGCCATTACTTTTAGATATCATGAACATGGTCCTACAAACTTAAATATCATTACGTACTATTCCAGCGGTTCTTACTATGACACCAAATTCACATAGAATCGGATGCTTATAGTTTCAAAATGCCATCGTTGATAGTGCAAAGATGAACAAAGCTCCTTTATTTTGAAGTTATCGGAAAAAAAGGTCTTTTTTATATGCACTATTTTTCGTTAGCGTTAACGTTGTTTTTTTTCTGCGCTAAAGCGGAAGCAGGTCGAGAAAGCAGTGATAGACTGCTGGGTACAAAAAGAAAAAAAAAACGCCTACATTACCCTCCATCAATTATTGCGGTGCGCGCTAAAGGCAACATTTGGCTGACTTAAATCAGAACGCAAGGGGGAGCCGTCCAAGTGCTTTACGAAAAGTAATCCAGATATCGCTTTAAGCTGCTTGTTCTCGCCTAAGCGAGATCATCTCGTAATCTACATGGGCAGTCCTGAACAAAATTCAATTCTTCCTTCTATTGATGTCGCAGGAGGCAACACCGTACTTCCCGCCAAGACCTCCAAGTCCGACGGCAACAACGACCAGCTGTCGATGCAGTCGACACCGGAGACGTGCGTCTACAAGAACCGGACGTACCCCGTGAACGAGTACTTCTACGACGGCTGCGGACTCAAGTGCCACTGCACGGACCAGACAGAAGTGGAGTGCCAGCAGCGGTGCCTGTTCACGCTGGAGGAGCCGCCCTCGGCCAACCTGGACCCGGGCTGCGAGATCCTCACCGACCCGCACGATCCGTGCTGCAAGATCCTGGCTTGCGAGGCTACGCCAAACGGAACCATGGCCATTCAGAACGTCACGGCTCCTGGAACTTCTGCCGGAAACGAAACAACTTACGTCAAGAACGACGTCGAGGTATGGCAGAGTCCGCCTTTACAGTCTTGCGCATGCACGTACGGGAGAGATGTAGTGGCAGAAACACAAGGGGCGACTAATGCTTGAAGGCATGAGAAATTCACGAACACGTGGTTTTGCTGGGGCCAACGTTCCTACAAGCAGTCTTGTCTCCTTCAAAGTTGCCCAATAATGAATGGGGGGAGGGGGTTGCAAGTCAGTTTCACAATACTAAATTCATGTTGGCGCATGGTGCTTTGTAGCGAAACTATGGGTTCTCCTAATTACGAGCTCATCGACTTTTAATATTTTTGGTCTAACGCTGAATGATTGTAGCAGAGCCACGTTTTCTCACGGCGGCAGTCATGAGTTATAAAAGTTTAAGCATTAGTTCTCTTGAGGCTACATGTATTCTGTTCGAGGTTGGGACGCTACTACGCGTTTAATGTGTGTCAGAACAACGAAGATACATTTTTCCATTTCACCATCCGGCAAAGTGCAGAACCTTAGAAAAATCTAGTAATGGTCGCAGGCAGTGTATCATGAAGTAATATCGAAGATTTAATTAGTTATGTTGAATTTAGCGGTGAGTGCGCTGTAGTTAAAATTTGCACCTCGGTAAGAAACGACAGGATAAATGTGTCGCTTGGCCTGCCTGATGTTGGCGAGCATTTTTTCGAAGAAGTTGACTGTTAATGATCACACTTGGCACAAGTTCCGTCCAGCTTCAATGGGCAGATGCGACTATAACCTTTTAAAGTATAAATAAATAAATAAACCTTTTGAAGACAACTGAGCCAATGGCTTCGACAGCTCAGTCGGAAAGATTCATTGACCTATTTTGTAGCTATTTAGATTACTCCAAGATTATTCCACTAGGAAGTAAAAAAAAAGAGTCCATACCACATTTCTGACGGCTGTAGAGGCTAGCAGTCAACTTGTGCTATTGCAAACCCACAAGCATCAATCGCAAAAGTGCCACGCGAAGGTGAAATGGAAATGCATGTGAGTGATGCATGTCGGCGGCGGCTGGCGCCGTGCACGTTTGAAGGTGACCACTGACGCGCGGCCTCCCGTGGCCTCAAACACCACTGTCGGCTACGACGATGACTCGACGGCGACCACGATCGTCTACGAGCAGGAGATGGTCACGGAGAAGATGCTCGTCGACACGGGACTCACCACCATCGTCAACGTGCTCGAGCCAGGCGATGCCAACGTCACGGAGAACCCGCTCGGAACGGCCAACGTCACGGCGGTGGGCAACAGCATTGGAAGCGATGGGACATCCAACGCGTCTCGCCAAGGTGGTTATCCCGGTGAGTGCGCAAAGACCTCGCTATGTTGGCTTTGGCTAGGATCGTGGCTAAGCTATGATTAAGAGTGGCTTCTTTTAAGGCAGGGGTCTCAAACACGCATCGCAACCTTTCGCTAGGGGCCCATGGTCCGTTCATGACAGTCTTCGTTCCATATTTCTTTTATGACCTTGTAGCTATTTGCGTCATGGCTAAATTGTGCTCGCATTATTGTCTCACCTATTGTTAGTTATCACGCTTTGTTCGTGTGAAGTACGCGGACGCGGTTGGTCTTAAGCACTGTCCTTTTCGTGAGACACTTTTTGCCGTCGCCTTATGCGGAAACGTAGCCACAGAACAAAAGTTTTGTGCTTGAGGATCAGCGTCCAGATCATAATTATTCGGCAGATCAATTTCGGTACGCGTCATCGTTACTGATGTCAGATTTAATTCGAAAATTGAACCACACACTTGATGACAGACAAGCCTTCGTTCAAATGACAACGTCATCTGACATTCAGTTTAAACATGATTGAACATGAACGAAGGGTTGGCACAGTGATTCACTGTGCCAACCCTTCGTGGGACTAACCTCCCTGACGGCGTCCAGGCAACTGATCCAAGTCTGAGATTCGTGCTCTAAAGGGTCGTTTTCGCTTTCCGGATTAGAATTGACAACAAAGGCCTGTGGGATGATTGTGAACAGTGGGATGCTTTTCGGAATTTCTGAGGCTACACTTTCCATAACGTACAGGAGGGGCCACTTCGCAGGTTCACTTTGGCTTACTTCCAACGCCTGAGAAACACATTTAAAGGTGTACCCTCCTAAGTCATCGAAGCAGAGGACGTCTAAGGTATTGTTGCGTGGTCAGCAGGCCTGTGCAAGCCACTGTATAATCAAAGGTAGAGGTGGTCGTTAAAATATACAGTTGATAATGTTCAATCCCTCTCTTCGTCTATAGTGAACAACTTCAATCAAAGCTCTGCGCTCCCTATTTTACTTTCTTCCTCGTTTCTTTAGCATATAGCACCTGAAGTCCTACGTCGAAACGGCCAAGATGTTGTGAGGACACTGCTAGCTAAGGGCTATGTTACTGTGCATGCTCTCTTCTAGCAGAAGTCGTACGTGATGTGTTATTGTTTACAAATACCTATACAGCCATGGTGATAAGGTTTTTGAAGCGGCGACGTGTTTGATTCGGGGTGTCGTTGTGACGTTGTTCTGCCCAGGCAAGCTTCATCGGTTCGACGGGTGTGAGTTCCGTGGCAAGGTGTACCAGGGAGGCGAGACCTTCTTCGACGGTTGCGAAGCCCGCTGCACGTGCAGCGGCAAGGGTCACCTGACTTGCCTGCCGCGGTGCAACATCATCACCTCAAGCGGCGGCGACACCTGCAAGGAAGTCGCCGACCCGAACGACGCCTGCTGTCGCGTGCTCGTCTGCAACCCGCCCGGAGACACCCAGGCTCAGTCTAGCGTTGAAGGTGTGTACGGCTCACTATCTATTTTAATTACTCGTATAGAAAATGGACAGTTGGCGTAATGCCCAGTATATACAATCATTGTTCGTTTAGATCGGCTGAGTAGATACCAAGGAATGAGAAACGTAGCCGAGGACGACAAAGTGTTAGATAAGGTGAGAATATAAGCAAATTTCAGGCATAGAATGCAGTCGGCTCGTGCAGGGCAGAAAAAATCGGATAATCTTAGAGAGAACTTTGTTCTTGAGTGAGCATAAGATACCGCTACTGCTACTGCTGCTGCTGATGATGATGATACGTACTGGATTTTCTGAACAAGACACATGCTATACAAAAATCTTTAAGGGGTTTATGCAGTAGCTTCTTCAAGCGGTTGATGGCATGTGATCTACAAGAAAAAAGTCACAGCTTTGCCGAAAAAGCAAAGCAATGAAAGCGACCGCAAAAATTTGGAAAGCCACGCACCGAATGGCAAGCAGGACGAAACGTGCGCCGCGTTTCTCATGCACACATGACGCACGAAATGTGCTCTCAGGTACAGATGAACGCGAATAAGCGTCTCAGTTGTTACTTCGCTGTGTCTGAAAAGCATGCCCTTTTCGCAAAACGGATGCTGTGCAATGATTGCAGGGAGCTTTGTGCGCCCGATAACTGCAACAGAATTGTTCTGGTGAAAGCCCAATGCGTAGGAAAGTCCCCACCACGACGAGATAAGCAAGCGCATGCATTAGCGTCTACCTTGCTCCTCACCGCGGGGCAAAGTACGCGTGGGGGATGAGAGCGCGCCGCCACTTCGTGATAATGTGGCGACGCGCGCTCATTGCCCCATCTCGCTGGTAACGCTGAAAACACGAGAGTTCCCCCCGAGATGCCCATCGCCAACGGTAAGTGGTAGATATAAATAGTTTGCCACTTGAACGTTGAAGCAGGTGCTCCTTCGTGGCTCATGTAGTCGCTAACGTCTCGCACTCACAATTCAGTGGTTCGACGTTTAATTCCGTGTGCCGGATTCTTTTTTCTTCATTATTTTGCTCTGTTGCGTTTTCATATATATATAGATACGTTTACATATACGGTTAATGACGGTGACGCTGACGCTGGCGGCAAAATCCAGCCGAGAGTGTCCGTATAGTTGCTATCGCAATTATAAAAGGAAAAAAGTTAACCGCCTGCGGTCGTGTTGACACGGAGCTGACAATGGAGTTCACTCGCTAGCACTCAAGACACATTGCAACATCGTTTTTGAGTCTTGTCAGATTGTGTTCACTGTGGCAGGACAACTAGCCAGATGATGAGATGTCCTGTTCCGAAGCAGCAACATAGCTGCTAAGCTAGTGCGGAAGGTTTTCGTGGCAGCCGAAGTCATTACAAGAGCCAATATCATATCTTAGCTGTTACGCTAAACTGCATATGAGCTGTGCACTTGCTACGCTTGGAGATTTGCACGTTTGGGGAACTTTGTGATTAGACACTTTTAAGCGACAAGGAGTAGACGACGCCCTATTGGTGCGCCAACACCTCCTCACATCATATCAATAAAAAAGGCAGATAAGAAAACAACGGGACGTGCTTTTTTAATCGATCAGCAGTTCTCTATGCCTGAATCTGGAACATTTATGCTTGTGTAGAGCAACATTAGAACCCATTATGTATTGTCTTAACATATAAAAATAACGAAGCACCGGCAGGAACAACTCGGGGTGTGGTCAGCATACATAAGGCAGAGCATCATTGGATCTGGATTCAATCGAGGTGCTGTTGGTGTGGTATTTAATATGTCCTTGCATATGAAAAAAAAAGAACATCGCTCTGTAGATTAAAATATTCAGTGACCTGCTATTAGCATATGAATCCCAAAAATATATAGCTGCAAAAACCCAAATCCAAGCCGCGACAAGGGAGCGGAATAGCTTGTCTAATTCTTTCCAAAAATGTGTCTGCGAGCACTTTCTCTTTGCTGCGACTGTGCGACGTGCACTGACAGACGTTAAAAACTAATTCACAATTTTAATATCTTTTCTCCTGCTGGAAAGTATAGCTATTTTCGCCTTATCTGTTTCAGGCCTAAAGTTGCTTATCGAGATGGCCGAACCGGAGAACGCTACCGTCGTAAAAATACGGTGGACTGTGCTTCACGACAACAAGACCACGCACATGGCTGGCGACACTATGATCCAGGTAAGCCTGACCCTGCTGCAAGAGGATGACCCTCAGTGTAAGACATTCAGACACCACCTGCTGCGTCGGGTCTTGGCTTCGATAGAAATACTCGTATATATCCCCTCATGCAGGTATACATTGACTTTAGCTGCTGGTGCAATGTTCTATCACGAATGACGAAATGTTGGGAATATATCATTTTCCAAACAATAGTGTTGGCTAGTGATGGCAAGCGTTAGCTTAAAGGGGCCGTAACACGGTGACCCAATGATTTGTGGTTTTTAACGAAGACCAGTAGTAAAGGGTCTGTTTTGCCTAGGCAGATTAAAAAAGTGGGCTATTGAAGAATACCTTAGTGCGAAACAAGCCCTAGAAGTCGCCGGCTGGAAACCCTGCCCCCCCACCACGGCCGCCATGTTGCCATGATCGTGTGACGTCATGTACTGGAGGGAGTGGAGCCATTGAATTCGAAGAAATAAGCTAAATTATTTCTGACCAGGGAACAATATCGTTTGCCGAAATGTAGGCACTGGCCAGCTAGTTGCCTGTTATGTCACGGCTTGAGAGTGCGCAACTGTTGCCAGACTCGCTGGCAGCTCACGTGCTTATGAAAATAATTGCAAAGTAATTACTGCAACAAATGCGCAAAAATTTAGTCCGCTTATTTATGAATTGAGAAAAATTAACTCGCATAACACAGATTACGATTGAAAATTTGACGTGGTTGCCACTTTAAGATGGGCAATTGGCGACTGTCTATGTTGGATGTAAGCTGCTATTAGACCGGCGCTGCTTTTGTTCAGTCTCTTTCCGGCGATTAGGTTGTCCGCTGATCTTTTTTTATTTCACGATCCGACCGTCTAGATATGGTACGCTGTGGTCACGAAGGACGGCAGTCCCGTCCAGTGGATGAAGCGCAAGTACAAGCTGAGCGACATGCGATCCGTGCCCACCACGTCGTCCTTCGAGATTCGGCTGGGGGGCCTGCAGCCCGAGACCGAGTACTACGTGCGCCTCGTCAAGCCACCCGGCGAAGACGGTGACCCCGAACACTTCGCCACGTCGAGCAACACGGTCAAGGTCAAGACCTTCGCTCCAGGTACGGGCCGTGCTTGAACGCTTCGTTGACTACAATCGAACCATATTTCGCGTAGCTATTATCTACGCTTTGTTGATGCGGTGATCTAAACCACGTCCACTATGGGACATGGCAGGTACGTCCTGTACCACTGGCGTAGCCAGGACAGGAATGGGGGAGACGTTTGATTTACCCCAATACTACTGACTTCTGCGTGTTCATATATTATGCAAATTATTAAATATGGTTTACCCCCCACCCCTAAAAATTATGGCTACTCCTATGTCTTGTAGGGCACATGATCGTCTACCTGTATACCCCGAGCGTTTTTCCTATTTGAGATTTGGTTTATGGTCACCACTTTTGTACACTTTTAATCGGAAATGTGCCATTTGCACTTAGAATAGCAGAGTGAAGCTGCAGTATCTGGGGCCTAGTTAGATTCGCTGCGCTGATGAAACCTACTTACATGTGGCAGAAAAAAAAAACTTTAGTTGTAGGAAAATTTTGAAGTCGCAATATAAAATACACAAACGAAAAAAAAACCTACTCTCGATGTCATGTTTACATAGGAAAAGACATCATTCACAGATATGATATCTAAAATCTAATTTTTGAGACATAGGTGAGCTGTTATTTGTTGGTTCGAACTAGTTCAATGTATTTGGTAGGCAATACTGCAGCAGCAATGATCCATAGGTGACATGCGGTCGTGGAGTGTGCCAGTGAACAGTGCGCCCGGTTGAACTTGTAGAGGTGTTTAGAGTCGGTTAATTTACGTATACTCTGATTTCCTCCCTCGAATGATCAGCGGTGCGAGCTGCATTCAATGGCTGTGTACACCGCAACCACACGTACGAGTCCGGCCAGGTGTTCTACGACGGCTGCGATCACAAGTGCGTGTGCCACGCCGAAGGGCTTATCGAGTGCCAGGACCGGTGCGAGGTGTACGTGGACACCGTGGGCTACGAGGACTGCCAGTGGGCGCCGGCCCCCGATGACGCCTGCTGCATGATACCGTACTGCGACGGGAAGCCGCCCGTGCCGAGAAAGCCTAACGGTAAGTGGGCGAGGTGCCGTTTCAGCGTTGTAAATAAATAGCGCACGCGCGCGCGCGCACGCGAGAGAGAGAGAGAGAGAGAGAGAGAGAGAGAGAGAGAGAAATGGATTTCTCGATGAAGAAGCTGAAAGGCAGCTATTTAAGCAGGCACAAAGCGACATAGACCTACTCTAGAAAGAGAGATCGCTGGAAAGATGGATAGAAGGAAGATAAAAAGTTAGAGACACAGATAGAATGCTACATAGATAGATAGATAGATAGATATATAGATAGATAGATAGATAGATAGATAGATAGATAGATAGATAGACAGATAGATAGATAAACAGATAGATAGATAGAAAGTACACGAGCCATTCCGCGGATGGAGAGGCGAGGTAAGTTAGTGTAGAAGTCTGTGCCGATCGTCTCTTTTAATCAAAAGCAAAGAACTGGAAAGCGTGACTGGTGTGGCCTGTCTGTAAGGTGAACGCAATTTTAACGCAGGGAAAAGGGGCACCGGCTACTTCAAGAGTAAGTCCTCTGACCACGCAGGGTCTGTTTCGCAGTCTTCGCACACCATAGCGTCCCCACCCGTCCACACTTAGCAGGCGCAGTATACGACGACGCGGGAATATAGAAGAATCTGAGAAGGATGACTGTAACGCACTGTCTCGCAGTGAAATGGGCGAGTCGCGATTAACGCTGACCACTACGTGTCCCCTGCGCAGACCCGCAGCAGGACGTGTGTCTGGACGAGTCTGGCAAGCCGCACCGTCTGGGCGACGAGTGGGCGACGGGTCGGGGTTGTCTGCGACGCGTCTGCACTTGCGTGCTACTGGCCAACGGCTCGGCGCTCGCTGAGTGCGTCGGAGGCTGCCCTCCGCTGTCGGTGACCGTCCAGTCCGCCGAGAAGGACTGTCCGCAACCGGTCGTCGTGACGCCCTGACGACCCGTGCCTGTGCCCTTACGTCATGTGCACCGGTCCGCGTGGCGGTAAGGGTCGTAAGCATTGCACCATAACTTCGAGGAAAGCGAGTGGGAAACTTATGCCCGAAGGCGTGCGCAGGGGTCTCCATTAGGTTTGCTAAACACGTTATTTCTGGCGCAGTGCGTAAGTGCCCCCCCCACCACCATGACGTGGGCACGCCTAGGCAATGCAAATGTCAATGGCAGCATACAGTCAGGCCCAAATGTAGTGGTTAAAATGATAGTTGTTAAAAAGAACTACTTGCACATCTTTGTATTTTTGTCTATGATAAGTTCATCATGATCATCATCTTTCTTGCCTTTACCTCAAGCAAAGGTTCAGTGTAACCAGCCGTAAGCCTAACCATGATTATAACCCTTCCACCATCCATCCCTTTCTCTCTTTCTCTCTCCCATACATGTTCATTAGTAGATGAATGTTGATTAAAAGAAAAATTGAAGTTTTCACCAAGAAACGCTGCATAATAGACAATTTTAGTTTGTATGCCGACTTTTGCCGTAGGCGTCTTTGCGGCTACCGGAAAAGTTCACGTGACGGGCAATGCTCGTAGCGACAACTGACGATGCAGAGCGTGGCAAATGTCATAAAAAATCTAATATCGCAACAAGTTACACGTTATACTAAGCTGCTGGTGCAAAGCGTTGATGGTTAAATAGTGGTTAACTCGCACTACTTTTATTACTTCATTTCGATGAGCACTGCTGGAGTTACTGATGAAAACGGACTGAATGCATACTCGGTGGTCGGCAAATTGCCACGAGATAATGCTGCGAGCACTCCTACTTCCGCCAACGTCTCCGGTGGAGGCCTTTTTGTCTTCAAGCTCCATTTCAGCACTGCACGGGGTTCAAGGTCTTATGTCCTCTGTGGTGCTGCAGGTTGGCGAGGTGATATCGGATTTAACCCGGCATCTGCAAATGCCAAGTACTGAAATACAACGGCCGAACAGGCTGGTACATAAACGGAAGAACTAGGGCGTGTGAACTTCCCGTGAAAGATAAACTTTCGGCACATTTGCCTTTAGTACATTGTGTTTCCTGCAAGTGTGTTTCTAGGTTCTCTAGTGTATCCATCCTTGGAGACAGTAATGATACCTTAGCACGGGAAATTATGAAAGTGTACTACATTAAAAAATGAAGGAGATACGTGTGCTAGTAACACATCTGTTGCTTTACACGGTATTGAGCATATTTTTTTCAATCTTTTCGTTTGTGGCTTCTTTGTCATAATTTTTTGTTGTCAATCTTATTGCGTGTTTTTTTCACTAGCATGTAAGGCGATGTGCGCGCGCATGGTTGCTACGATTAGATATTTTGCTGGTTTCCGAAAATAAATTAGCTTTGAGTGATCCCCTTTCTGTTCGGTCCTCAATTTTCTTCCCGGTAGTACGCGTATTGTTTGTATTTCAGTAAGCATGAACCAAAAAGACAAACAAAAACTTTTATTAAACGTCAAGTACTTAACGGACAAGTAAGGCTCGCTTATAACTATTTCCTGCAGCGTCTGTGTCGGCTCCACCTCCCAGCACGGCCGTGGCCTGCTCCCCAGCAGCCCGGTCCGGCCATGTGCAAATACAACGGACGCATGTACAGTGTAAACTGAGGAGTTCTACAACGGCTGCCTCGAAGTTTGCCACTGCGGCGCCAACCTGCGCGTCAACTGCGCCATCATCGAGTGTCCGCACCACTTCAACCAGCACTTCAGCGAGTGCCTCGAGTGGGACATCGACCCGACGTTCCAGCCATCTCCGCCTAACTGCTGCCCGCCCTCCAAGTGCAAGAAAGGTAAGGCCTACTTTTTGATGCGAAGCAGCGTCTGCTCGTGGCTGTGTTCGTCCCTCGGCGACCGTCCGCTCCCTAGTGCAGCATGCGCAAACTCCACTCCATCTGCTCGCGTGAGCGCGAGGAGGTGGGAGGAGATGCTTTGTTTCTCCTCTCCCGTTTATCTCTCCGCCACGGATGTGTGCTCATATATATTGCTGCGCGCGCTCGCGCCATTGCACTCTCCTAGCAGAATCGGGTGTCCACATTGCGGTTCACACACTAATACACAAAAATGGAAGGGGCTAAGATAAGCGGTATGCAACATATACACAACTCCGCACACAAAGGAAACGTACACGGACACAAACGACACAAACGAAAACAATAAATTCTAACGCAGGTGAACATCAGCGTTGCTTCGCATCCACACATGGTTCCCTTCGGCATGATATAACTTTTTGTTCTTTCGGCGACTACGCGCCATAGGCGTTCCCTCAGAAACTCCAAGACGCGCACTGTCCAGTGATAAAGTTGTACAGGGTGTTCCACGTAACTTGAACCAAGATTTTGAAAGCGAAAGGCACTTAGGAGGCGAATTGAACCAAGCGCATACTACTCGCAATAGGCTGTAGGTACTCATGTAATTTTATTTCTCCCCATAATAATAATTGATAATTCTTAATTACCTAACTTTTTAATTATGGGCTGGAAACTCAAAGCATGAACACTGAGATGAAGACCACTTTCAGAAACGACCGACTAAATTGTTTTCTGTACGATACGTCTCGCGCTGTTATTTTTTCCACGTTGTAATGACGCCGACGCCCATGTCGAGGTCGACGCCGGTGGCAAATCTAGCCGAGATTATCCATATAATTGCTATCGTAGTAAAGGTGGGTAATGATTTAGGGTACCAGCATTGGGAAGTATAATAGAACATTACAGGCGCCGAACACAGACCAGATGGCATCACCTTGGAACTTGAAGAGGCCGTCCGGTGTTATAAAGGCAGTCTTTTCTCGATCTCACTCGTCGACCTCGACTTGCCACAGACCCCTTCGCTGTTTACAAACGGAGCTGTGTTTAGAAGAAAGAAAAAAAAAACTGGTGAACGATTTAGAGTTCTTGGTACTCTACTATGGGAGAGCATTAGGCCGTCCCGTACCTTATAGCATGGTCATACAGTCAACGGACCTGCGGGAGGGCTTCCGCTTTTGTGCACCAGCGTAGCCTAAAAGCATTGGCGGGGAACGAATACTTTATAGAGTATAGCCAGCCAATTTTCAACACTTTTGTAGACTTTGACTGGTCAAATAGTTCAAATAATTTTTTCTTCTAAACTACACACAACATTATAGGAGGTAGTCATTAAAGCACTTTTCTTTTACCAGATAGCGAAAAAAGAGTTTTTACTCACTCTGGCTAAACTGAAAAAAAGAAAAATGGCAGCATATCCACGGAGTGCATGATGGAGAGTGGGGCGAAGAATTCGTCCGTCCATTCGTTCTTGCTTCCGTCCGTCCATGCGTCCGTCAGTGTGATCGTCCATGCGTCCATCAGCCCGTCCGTGCGTGCGTCTGTTCGTGCGTCCGCCCCTGCGTTCGTCCATGCAGCCGCCCCTGCGTCCGTTCATGCGTCCATCCATGCATCTGTCTATGTGTCCGTTCGTCCATCTATTCAACACTCCAAGTACCACCATCTCGCATCTTTTCATTATATATTCCCCATATAGAAGCACCGCCATCCAGCGGACATTCCAAGGACTAAACGAGAGGTGGCACACGCACACTTTTTTACGGCTTGCGCTTCGGGTCCACTTCCCACCTATAACCACCTCGAGTTCATGGTATATACTAGTTCACTGTATTCATGGCACTGCGGCCGAACGCTCGCTAAACCTTTCGAAAACCAAGGAGGTTACGCCCAGCGAGTATGACGTAGCAAACGTTTTCAGTCAGATAGTGCTCAATGTACATGCCATTGGCTGCTAATTGGAAATGAGAGGCGGAGAATTCGGCTTTTACTTTCTTACGGCTTGCGCTTCGTATCTACTTCCCATTTTTAACCACCTCGAGTTCATTCATGGTATATACAAGTTCATTGTATTCATGGCACTGCGGCTCAATGCTCGCTAATCCTTTCTAAAGCTAAGGAGGTTACACCCAGCGAGTATAACGTAGCAACCCTTTTTTGTCAGATAGTGCTCAATGTACATGCCAATGGCTGCTGATGTTGATCACAGCCTGCGCGTTAACTAAAAGCCGAATGCTCCTGTCTCTCATTCCCCATTAGCAGCCATTGACATGTACATTGAGCACTATTTTTTATTGTTCAACAACGCACAGAAGAAGTCTCTCACCGGCACCACCTTGGAGGTCAAAATGTTATACTTGTTACATACTACGGGGGACGAACGAGTGCCGCTATAAGAAGCTGCGCCCCTAAAAACAAGTTTTCTGCGAGAGGGATGAAAGAAATAAGTGGAAGTTCCTTGGGAAGCAACATGTGGTGCTGCTTTTGCTATGGCTGTGTTGACACCGACGGAAAAGGCGTAGAGTCGTCTGAACGTGGACTTTTACAACAGATTCGCCCTGTTAGTGTGGTTGTCTCCGAATAGTGTATAGGCAGAGTCACGTAACTTGCCCTGCCTTAGTGATGAGACGCGCTCTAATGTCTACGAGATTGCTGCAGTGGAATTGCGGTATCCGCCACAGATGGCTTAATAATGCTGCCCAGCGCACAAAACTGTTAAAAAAAAAAAAACATGCTAGCGTTTGACCCTATCTGATCAGCACCTGTTATGCGTCGTCAAATGTTTACTACCACCATCATCCAACCAGCGCATTATTTCCTCGCATATTATCGTCCTCCCTATGACAGCTCTCTCGCGTACATTTTAACAGCGGGGCTTTGAAGGCGAAAGCCTTCAGTGTCTGATGCTCGCTTTCATTCGTCCGTGCCCCGGAACGATGCCAGCTGTGGCATCTCCCCCTCACACCCTCTCAGCAATCATGTGATTGCACATCAACGCAGAACAACAGTTGTGCCACCACACCTGTGACCTCTGGCTCTTACACTCTTTCGTCAATCACGTGATTGCTAAAGGATGTAAAAACCAGAAAAAGACAAGGAACAGCTAGTCGAATGGCCAGAGCCTTTCATAAAACACACTGTGAAACTTACAGTGCCCTACAATGCTTAAAGTGTGGCAAGGTTCCGTGGGTGACCAGAAAAAGCTGAGTGGGTATGCGCTAAGCTTTTCGTAGAGACGCATACTGTAGTATAAGCAAGAGGTGCTGAAGGGAAAGTAATGTGAAGAGCAGTGACGTGAGCGTGAGGAAGGGAAGAAGGAAGGGAGAGAGTAAAGCATGTATAGTATAGCTAAGTGGGGGCGTGGTGGGACTGATTTGTCAGAGAAAGAAAATGAGATAAGGTGGTACATCATAGTATACGATATAGCATAATATGTACGATATAGCAGAGTAACGGTTCAAAAAAAGAAGAGCGAGGGTGATAAGAAAACGATGTAACACTTAGAAAGAGAGAAAAATAGATATGGAGCGATATACACTGATGAATGAATTTGAAAGTACAAGATGAAGAAAGATGAAGAAAGTACATAAAATTACATGATTTCCAAGTAAAGTGATTCCATGTGGGGGTGCGAAGCAGTGCTGATGTTTACTTGTGTTTCTATTTCTTGTTTCCTTTTATATGTTTCCGTGTTGTGTTTCCTTTGTGTGAGAAGTTACGTATATGTTGTGTACCACTTATGTTACCGCCCCTCCCATTCTGATGTATACCGTGCGTGTGCTGCAAAGTCAACACCCAGTGCTGCTAGGAGAGTTCAACGGCAGCGAGTGCGTGCAGCATTATATACGAGCGCACAGCTGTGGCAGAGAGGATAGACGGGAGAGGAGAAACGAAGTGGAGGCAGTGCTCTGCCACCTCCTCCTCGCCACCTCCTCGCGTGAGCGTGAAGAGAGGGATCAGAGCTGACGCATGCGCAGTGAGGGTGTGGACGGTCGCCGAGGGACGGACACAGCCACGAGCAAAAGCTGCTTTGCATCTAAAACTCAATCTGCGCTTGCTAGGAGGTGACGCCTGCTCGCCAGCTTTGCAGTTGAATCCTATATCACAGGGACATTAATATTTTAGGACGAGAACTATACTACGTGTTGCAGCTCTGTGCTTGCCGCCGGTTTCTGCGCAAGCGACAACCCAAATTTAATCGTCCGGTAGATAAAGCTCGTCGACAGACAATGAGGGTAGCAGACTGGACATAGCCTAGTTAACCTTCCTACCTTTCTTATATTTCTCTCAAGTGAAGACTGTGTTCTAGCTGAAACGCAGGAGCAAAGGGCCGTGAGACTAGCACGTCTATAGAGCTAGAACTTACCGAGTGCAAAGCGTGCCAGTATCGAAGCTACTGCAGCCGCAGTCGTTCTTCAGCAACACAAATTAACAACAAGGATAGAGAGAGGCCTGATTTCAGTAAAACACTGGGTGCATATTTTTTTTTGCAAAACAGAAACAATAGTGCATTTTGGTTGGAATAATAAGGTTTAGGAAAGTTACACGCGTCCACTGCGTACTTGCGGTGCTTTCGTGAGTAAAACAATGGATGCCTCTCCTAACTCTTAAACCGAAACTTAAGGGTCTGCTAGTTTTTTCTGCCACCTTGTCGAATAGATCTTGGGGTCCGCCTAGCATATGCGGTCGCGACAGTACGCTGTCCTTGAAACAACTGGACTGGAATCTAGTCTTGAACTAAACTTGTTGCAAGCCTCGTTGCCAAATTTGTTTTGTTTGCGTATGTTGGCTTCTCTGGTCTTGGTTAATAAATGTTAATGAAGCTAACGACTGTCAGCTACAACCTCAGAAAAGATGCAACCACTGCCAACATTCAACGCTGCTTCTCCCTCTGCCACACCATCGCCTTCAGAGAATTTGCATCGATGCCTCATCTTATTACCATTGCACACTTACTTGACCTCAAACACGTATGGCGTACTTCATGTAACTGTTTTTAAATGTGAAACATTTCTTCGGCGAACTTCGGCGACTTTCAGCGTATCTATCTATCTATCTATCTATCTATCTATCTATCTATCTATCTATCTATCTATCTATCTATCTATCTATCTATCTATCTATCTATCTATCTATCTATCTATCTATCTATCTATCTATCTATCTATCTATCTATCTATCTATCTATCTATCTATCTGTCTGTCTGTCTGTCTGTCTGTCTGTCTGTCTGTCTGTCTGTCTGTCTGTCTGTCTGTCTGTCTGTCTGTCTGTCTGTCTGTCTATCTATCTATCTATCTATCTATCTATCTATCTATCTATCTATCTATCTATCTATCTATCTATCTATCTATCTATCTATCTATCTATCTATCTATCTATCTATCTATCTATCTATCTATTATCTATTATCTATTATCTATTATCTATTATCTATCTATCTGTCTGTCTGTCTGTCTGTCTGTCTGTCTGTCTGTCTGTCTGTCTGTCTGTCTGTCTGTCTGTGTGTGTGTCTGTGTGTGTGTCTGTGTGTCTGTGTCTGTGTGTCTCTGTCTCTGTCTGTCTCTGTCTGTCTAATCTGCTTACGTTGGGGTGCTCTCGTGGTCACCCCTTTACTTGGCGTGAAGCAAAAGTAGCATGAGAGGGTAAGATGGTTTGACAGGTATGACGCGCTTGTCATGACATGAATAATGTCACAATCCCATCGCGTACGACGTCAAACACTTCCCGCCAGACAGTGGCACACACCCATGGGCGGGTATGTGCCACAGGTGATTGACACTTCTTATCTTCCCAGGAACTACGAGAACACACATGGGCAATTTGAACGCCCGAGTGTAAAGAAATACCCGACGTCGGTAGCGTCGACCCTACGAGTCCCAGCTGGAATCTAACCCAAGCATTCTGGGTGCCAATGAAGCATTTTACCACAGAGCTACGCCATGCCTCGGAACTACTTTTGAAATAGACGCTAATCTTCGTGAAACGTCAGTAGTGGTTGCAGTGTTGCCTACACAATTTTATAAACCTTACATATGTACTATGTTGATACAGCCGTCACGTCGGGTTAACGTCAGATGTGGTTAGTTGCCATGAGCTGAAGTCGATTTATGTAGCGGTGTCCAGACCAGGATCTTCGCGAGCATTAGCGCTTCATATCTACTTCTGGTGTTCCTAATATGCATGTTCCAGATGGGCATCGTAGCGCAAGTGCAAACAACTGGTTATATAAACATCTGTAAATATTCAACGTATATCTGTGCGTGCGACATTTGTACATAAATTTAGCGTCATTTAACGACATGTCGCTTAATAACAAAATTGCAACACGGTCAGCTTTCCCCCGCATGCTTCGCATAACGTGGATTCCCAGGTATGTGGGATCTGCCGAATTTTTATCCCGTACATGTTCATATCGCTTGAACATACTTGAACTTCCTGACAAATTTATCAAATGTACAGGACATCACTACTAGAGAGAACCAATACATTAAGTATACTTTATTATTATGGTTAGTATTTACATAAGCAACGAAAAAGTACTTGATGGGCACTACAGTATAGCCAGACTCTCGAACCGGTAAATGACAGGCGCAGCGCAGTTCTGGGAGGGGAACATGAATTTATTGATGTTCTTTTGTGATTTATCATTTTAAGACACCAGGCTGTGAGTGAGACCTCCTATGAAATCATACATCAGAGATGACACGCTATAGTAGCCTAACGCTATAGTAACGCTATTGTACTTTCTATGGTAGCGGAATTCAGAGTCTCGCTTCAGAACAGGTACTCGGCTCTTAGTGAGGAAACCAACCTTAGCATAGATACAATAAATGATAATCTGACGAGTATCATTACGGAGTGTGCAGTGGAAGTTGGAGGCAGGGTAGTTAGACAGGACACTGGGAAGCTTTCCCAGGAAACAAAGAATCTCATTAGGAAGCGTCAAATCATGAAAGTCTCAAGTACAACAGACAAAATAGAACTGGCAGAGCTTTCAAAGTTGATTAACAGGCGTAAGGTATCCGATGTAAGTAGGTATAACATGGAGAGAATTGAACACGCTCTGAAAAAAGGGAGGAAGTGTCAAAGCAGTGAAGAGGAAACTTGGGATAGGCAAAAGTCGGATGTATGCACTAAGGGACAAAGAAGGCAAAATAACTACCAATATGGATAGGATAGTTAAAATAGCGGAGGAGTTTTACAAAGATCTGTACAGTAGCCGAGACAACTACGACCTTAATACTATAAGAACTAGCAGTAACCCAGATGACACCCCACCAGTAATGATAGAAGAAGTCAGAAAAGCTTCGGAGAGCATGCAAAGAGGCAAAGCTGCTGGTCAGGATCAGGTAACATCAGATCTGCTGAAAGATGGAGGACAGATTGTGTTAGAAAAAGTAGCCACTCTGTTTACGAAGTGTCTCCTGACGGGAAGAGTACCAGAGTCTTGGAAGAACGCTAACATCATCTTAATACATAAGAAAAGGAGATGACAAGGACTTGAAGAATTACAGGCCGATTAGCTTGCTCTCTGTAGTATACAAGCTATTTACAAAGGTAATTGCTAACAGAGTAAAGAAAACATTAGAATTCAATCAACCAAAAGGAACAAGCAGGATTTCGAACAGGCTACTCAACAATCGACCACATTCATACTATCAATTAGGTAATAGAGAAATGCTCAGTGTACAACCAACCCCTGTACATAGCCTTCATAGATTACGAGAAGGCGTTTGATTCAGTAGATATATCAGCTGTCATGCAGACACTGTGGAATCAGGGCGTCGATAAAGCATATATACACATCCTGGAAGAAATCTACAGGGGATCGACTGCTACCATAGTGCTTCATAAAGAAAGCAACAGAATACCAATCAAGAAGGGTGTAAGGCAGGGGGACACAATCTCCCCAATGCTATTTACCGCGTGCTTACAGGAGGTTTTCAGAAGCCTAGAATGGGAACAGTTAGGGATAAGAGTTAATGGAGAGTACCTTAGTAACCTGCGCTTCGCCGATGACATTGCATTGCTGAGTAACTCGGGGGACGAATTGCAACTCATGATTACGGAGTTAGACAAGGAGAGCAGAAAGGTGGGTCTTAAAATGAATCTGCAGAAAACGAAAGTAATGTACAACAACCTCGGAAAAGAGCAGCGCTTCGAGATAGGTAATAGTGCACTTCAAGTTGTAAAAGACTATGTCTACTTAGGGCAGGTAATAACTGCGGAGCCGAATCACGAGATTGAAGTGACTAGAAGAATAAGAATGGGGTGGAGCCCATTTGGCGAGCACACTCAAATAATGACAGGTAGATTGCCACTATCCCTCAAGAGGAAGGTATATAACAGCTGTATCTTGCCGGTACTTAGCTACGGAGCAGAAACCTGGAGACTTACAAAAGACGCAGCGAGCAATGGAGAGAAAAATGGTAGGTATAACCTTAAGAGACAAGAAGAGAGCAGAGTGGATTAGGGAACAAACGGGGGTTAAGGATATCATAGCTGAAATCAAGAAGAAGAAATGGACATGGGCCGGGCATGTAGCGCGTAGACAGGATAACCACTGGTCGTTAAGGGTAACTGACTGGATTCCCAGAGAAGGCAAGCGGGTAAGGGGGAGACAGAAGGTTAGGTGGGCAGATGAGATTAAGAAGTTTGCGGGTATAAATTGGCAGCAGCAGGCACAGGACCGGGTTTACTGGCGGAACATGGGAGAGGCCTTTGTCCTGCAGTGGACGTAGTCAGGCTGATGATGATGATGATGATCACTTTCTATGCTCGATTTCGTAGGCGCATTCGAGCGCCGCCAGCTTGGACTGATAATACTGCCGTTTTGTACCCGTATCCAAAATAAACAAGCAGGACTACGGTGAACTCGCATGCACAAAAACACTTAGGCCGGTACGCCCAACGTTACGGACGATGAGAATTTATGTTAAATCGTAGAAGACCGGAGAAACAATCCCTTACCAGACCAAGATGGGGGCGCGAATTTGTCGAAAGTAAAATGGGGCATAGTGGTAGGCTGAAACTAAATGTAATGCCTATGCACTGAGCTCGTACTATAAGCGCTGAACTCGACACTGACTTTTTTCTTTTTTGTTTTCTTCACCCGGCATCTTCCAGATGGTTCGTGCCTGTTCCACGACGTCAAGTTCCGCAACTTCCAGCAGATTCCCCAGGAGATGCTCGACTGTGGCAAGCGCTGCGTCTGCGTCAACGGCAACATCTCGTGCGAGAACCGCTGCCCGCCCCTGAACAGCTCGCCGCCGCCGACGCTGCCCTGTCACCCGACGCAGGCGTACCGGGGTCACCTTCCCGGAGACGAGTGCTGCACCCACTGGATGTGCCGAGAGCCCGAGAAGCCCGGTGAGTCGTCGTTGTTCCTCGTCACGTGCAGCGTAATACAGCTCTGGTCTACTAACAACTTCAACGTGGCGTGGCTACATACGTTTCACCTTGCGTTTCCTCAACGAGTTCGTGGGGGTGTCATGTTTCAGCAAGTGAAGCAGCAACGAAACGAATGTGAGAGTGCAGCTGTCGTGCAAGCCTTGTGCAACCGTCGGCTGGCCCGAGACTTGGGGGGGTTGCTGTGATTCGTGAAAGGCGAAGCGGCTTACGTTGCTTGGCATGTGCAAATACCGGAAAACGCTCACTGTCGTACTTGTTGGACGTTGCTAAAGTATAGACACGGCTATGCCATCTGCAGTGGTGTCAGCCATCTTGTGCTGCGCCGACGCGGCACTACCGCGCAAGCAGGTGTGGAGAATTAGCGAACTAGCCGTGCAAGACGGCTGCACTTTTTGCGAAACGAGTACTGCGGTGCCAACGCCACCGTGTTGAACTCGTGAAACGAATGCAGCGCCTCCGTGAACTGGTTCACAAAGTGCGAGTGGAGCGAATTTACCTTTCATAGCCGTGTGTAGGATGGATGGATGGATGGATGGATGTGGCTGTACCCTTTAGATCGGGCGGCGGCTAATGCCACCTAGCCGTAATACTTAGTGAACTAACCATTACATTTATCTTTTTTTCCCTTTAAATAATGAAGTTGAGGATTCGTACTTCGCAGTGAAGGGTTTAATTTTCACTCGTGCCTTGGCTTTAGCCACCAATCAGATAACCTCCTTCTAGTTAAGTCTACCCGCTTAAAGTCTATTTTGCCCTCGCTGTCCCTAAATCCCAGTGCTTTGAAAAACTCTGCGCCATCATCCTGAACTATAGGGTGAAGCCCTTTACAGAACATTATCAAGTGTTCGGCAGTTTCTTCTTCCTCTCCACACGCACTGCATACTGTGTCGACCCCTTCGTATTTGGCCCGATATGTCTTGGTTCGCAGTACTCCCGTCCTGGCCTCAAACAGTAGAGAACTACCCCGAGTATTATCATAGATCCTTTCCTTGGCAATTTCCTGCTTAAAAGTTCGATAGATCTCTAGTGCGGACTTCTTAATCATGCCCATTCTCCACATGTCAGTCTCCGTTTCCTTCACTTTTTCTTAACCGATAGTTCTTTTTGGTTTGGCCACCTGCTGTTTTCTAAGTATTTACCAGTCAACTTCCTGGTTCGCTTCCTCCTTTTGTATCGACATTCTTCATGTACAAGTAGCTGAAAACCTTCCTAGCCCAACGCTCTTCCCCCATTTCTCTCAATCGCTTCTCAAATTTTATCTTGCTGCTAGCTTCCCTGCCCTCAAATGATGTCCATCCCATATCACCTTGTACTCCCTGATTTGGTTTATTCCCGTGAGCTCCTAAAGCAAGCCTACCTATTCCACGTTGCTTAATTTCTAATCTTGCTTGAACTTCTGATCTCATGCACAAAACCGCATTGCTGAACGTCAGCCCAGGAACCATGACCCCTTTCCATATTCCTCTCACAACATCATACCTATTGTAATTCCACAGTGCCCTATTTTTCATGACTGCTGCATTCCTGTTATCTTTAGCCATCACGTATATTTCGTGTTCCCTCAGATACTCGGTCCCATTGCTTATCCATACGCCCAGATATTTGTATTTATCTGTTATTTCTAGCGTGACCTCCTGTATTCTAAGCTCACTACCTTCGTTGTCATTGAAAATCATGACTGCTGATTTTTCCCTACTGAATCTAAAATCTAACCTATCTCCCTCATTACCGCAGATGTCCATCAATCTCTGCAAATCTTCCTTGTTGTTGGCCATTAGCACTATATCATCTGCGTACATTAATGCTGGTAGTGCCTGATTAATAAGTTTTCCTTGTTTGACTAAAGAGAGGTTGAAGCCCAGTCCACTTCCCTCTAATTTTGCCTCTAATCCTTGTAGGTACATCATGAATAATAAGGGTTACAGGGGGCACCCTTGCCTAAGCCCCCGTTTTACCTCTGCCGGCTTGGATACCTGTTTTTCCCACTTTATAACTACCTTGTTACCTTTATAGACACCCTTTAAAAGATTAGTGACTACATGTTCCACGCCTAGTGTGTCCAGTATTCCCCACAATTCCTCTTGAACCACGCTATCGTACGCTCCCTTGATATCCAAAAATGCTAGCCACAGGGGCCTGTGTTCTTTTTCTGCTATTTCGATGCACTGCGTCAGTGAGAACAGATTGTCTTCCAACCTCCTGTGTTTCCGAAACCCATTCTGCAGTTCCTCCAGCACCCCCTCATCCTCTATACACGCCTGCAGTCTTTCCTTTATAATCTGCATCGCCAGCCTGTAGACCACTGATGTCACTGTTATAGGACGGTAGTTGTTTATGTCAGCTTTGTCCCCCTTTCCTTTATAGATCATGCTCATCCTGCTAAGTTTCCATCCATCGGGTACTTCACCATCGATTATTATTGTACTCACTGCCTCTCTCAAAGCCTGCTTAGACTTCGGACCTAATGTTTTTATCAGCCTAATTGGAATGCCATCTGGGCCTGTTGATGTACTACTAGGAACCCTTTTCTCAGCCCTTTCCCACTCTTGTTGTGAAAATGGAGCCATTGCACCACTTGATTCGTCTTTGTCTATTGCGGTGCATAAATTACTTCTTTGTTGAAATTTTTCTGTCACCCTTGTTCTTATATATTCAATAGCTTCGTCCCCTTCTAGCCTAGCACCTTGGGCTGTAGTATAAAGTTCTGCTCTAGGTTCGTCTCATTTCTTAGGGAGTTTAAATGGTTCCAAAATTTTGCAGCTGCCTTTCTATCTTTTTTATGTACTTCTGCCAGCCACTGAGCTCCCTTCCTTCTAATATTTTCATTGATCAGAAGGGATGCATCCCTTCTACAGCTTAGAAAGGTTGCCCATTTTCTTTCCACATCATCTGTCGGTTCACCCCGCTGCTTAGCATGTCTGTGTTCCCTAGAGGCTTCCTGACGTTTTGCTATGGCTCTCTTAACTTCCTCATCCCACCAACTTTTGGGTTTGTGTCTTCTTTTCCGGGGTGACTTGTCACGCGTCTTAGCAAGCTCTATCTCAGAGTCTAATTAGATTCGTATATGTACACACTGTCTTATTATCCTCCGTGATTACTTTCTCAATTTGTTTAGTGGCTATTTCAATTTGCCTTTCTGGATAAAAATTTTCCTGTAGTTGCTCATCTTGTCTCCTTCCCACTTTCACTGCTCTTCCAAAATTTAGCTTGATACGTTTGTGATCGCTACCCAGACTTCTGGAGCCACCTTCATCTATGTGCATTTCCCTGAGCTTATCATACATCCTATGCGACATCAGTGCATAATCTATCGTCGACTGATGCCTTCCTACCTCCCATGTTATTTGCCCTTCACACTTCTCGGTACTGTTGCAAATGATCAAATCAAGCCTTTCACACATATCCATGATCATTTTTTAGGGGGCCTCGACGCCAGCGCCGCCTGCAGTCGTAACGGTGGTGACGCCGATTGACCGTGCCGCCGCCATGTTGTGTGGGATAGGATGGCGCTGGTTGGCGCGGACGCAGGTTTGCGCGCGCTTTGCTACAGCGTTGTATGTTGTTCCCTGTTCCCAGCTTAGTGCGTACCTATGTGCAATATCACGGCACGCGTCACCACTCGGCGCAAGCCCAATGCAGCTAAGAAACAGCCAAGAATCTGATAAAAACCAAGGAAGTTATATAGAGGAATTATTTGAAGTCATTCGTTCGCCCCAGGGGCGCAGGCAGGATTGTTTTTTTCAGGTAAAGGGGGGGGGGGGGTACTGAGAAAAAGTACTTGTTTCGAGCGAAAATAAAAAGCTATGCTGACCGCCTCTCACAGTTCAGGGCAGGCGCACTGTGGTTCTGTGGGGGAGCCTACACTTTTTTGCTTAAGGTTGTATTCATATGCAACTCTTTTGTCGCAAAGGCAATCGATGGCCATGCTTCGATCATCTAGGAGGGGCCTCTCCTCCCATCTTAAATTGTATCTGACTGGCGTACTCTCACAAAAAAAAATGTACACGTGCAGACGCAAACACAATAGAGAGAGTCAGCACAAACACCGATCACCTATCAAAGGGAGGCACTGTGGAGGAAAAAGAAAGTAGCAGACAAAAGAAAAAAAAGCGCTTTAGATCATAAGTGTGCGGAGAGATTCGTTGCACGCAAGCGAGCATGCTGCATGTATAAAACGCTCTGAACGCTCCTGACTCTACGCCTCACTGGGATAAACCTAAACTGCCGATTAAAAATAGTATGCCTGTGGTTTATAGATATGCATGCTAAATAATGTGTCTGCAAATAGCAGACACATAAAAAAAACATGGCGTCGTACGACAATGACGCCTTTTGCGACTGTGCATGCCTAAACAGTATGCGAAACTGTTCCTATAGCATCTAATGTAGGTTGAAAGCTTGCTTTTGAAAGCTGCTGGCTGTACGCTATATTACACAGACTGCTGGAGCAGATAAGAGCGTTTATCGATAGGGAAGTTTTACTCAGCATATAAATGAATGGTTTTCGACGGAAGCTGTACCGATACGTTCACAAAACATTTCAGAACAAGGAGAAAGATTCATGCATCTGGCAGGATCCTAAACTTCCCAAAATATTGTCGGTAAACGCTATCATACAGGCACAGTTCAGCATTCCAAACGTGCAATTTTGCGCATTTGGCAAATGGTATTTAAGCCAAATGGTCACAAGTTATACTGCCGTGGAAAATTGTGCTCCTCGTTGCAGTAAATAAACGTGGCAAGCAGCTTTGAAAAGTCTAAATTAGTGCACTAAACTCGTTGCAGGTGGTTGAAGCGCGAGATAAACATTAGCGATAAACATTAGCGATGTGCCCACACAGGGTTGTACCAGCTGAAACGTCGTGGTTTGCTAGACGTGCGCAGATTTTCCTTGTACGTTTAATAACTGCTGGGCTTAGCTGTGGAGTGTAGCCGAAGCAGCACAAAGTTATACTAAC